TTCTTGGGAAATGATAGCATTTGTACTACCATCAAACAAGCAGAGCAGAACTGGTGGAGAAATGGAGGAAACTGGAATAGCATATTTTTTCATTATGGATGGGTCTACAAAACAATGAGAAGAGCAGGAATTGATCAATGCAGAAACAGTATCAACAGAATAATCAAGAAGAGTTACAGATGGAAGTAAAGAATTGGGACTAGAGAGAGTGGATGCATTGAGTCAGATGTCTGGTCACACACAGTTGGGATCAATGCCTCCCCCAGGCTGTGCAAGCTCCCTGGAGGAGCAGACTAATTTTTTGGCTCTGCCTTCTCTGTGGGCAGAGGAGGTGTAGTTCTGGCCATAGCTGCACAGGCTTTGGCTGTGCAAGAGGTAGACTTGGGACAGTCCTTCGTGGAGTGGCCAGCCTCACCACAGAAGAGGCAGAGCTTGTTTTTCATCCTTCACTGGCATTCAGTGGAGGTGAGTTTGCCATCCTTGCCCAGAAGATGGGCAATATTGGACTTGGGCAGATCCTTCTGTTTGCCCTTGCCCTTGGCATTGGACTTTGGAGCAGAGGCAGAGGACAACAATTTGGACTTGTTGTTGGAGTTGGAAGGCTGCAACTGGTTGGTGGCAGACTTGGTGGTGCACAAAACTTCTGCTTTGCATTCCCAGTAGCATGCATTGATGGTTTGGGTGAGTTCACAGAGTTGTGTGAGGGTAGAAGGTTTTCCAATGCAAGTGATCTCATCTTTCATGCAGTCTGGAAGTCTGCTATAGAAGTGGTGGCAGAGTGCACCAACACCATAGTCTTTGACCTGTGAAGCCCAGTGATTGAACTCCATGACATATTTGGTAATTCAAGAGCCATCCTTCATAGTAAGGTTCTTGAGTTGTTGGATGGCATCCACTATGGCATCATGTGGACCAAAATTGGTTGTGAGCTCATGTAAGAATTTGTGGTAGTTGTCCATCCAGAGTGCACAGTCATAATTTTCAGGGTTTAGTAGGTCTGGCTCAAACCAAGCCAGAGCCATACCCTTAAGATAAGACTGAGTGAAGGTAACCTTCACCCTGTTGGAGCAGAATGTGTGGGGGCAGTCTTGAAAGTTCAGCTTGCATCATATGAAGAACTCACAGAGTTTCTTAGGGTCAGAGCTGTCAAAGGTGTCAGGCTCACAGACTTTGGTTTTTGGAGGAGAGTCCCCAGTGTGCAAACTAGACTGTGCAAGTGCATGGACAGCTCTAGCAAGAGCTATGAGGGGATCCTCTGGCAGCCCAGCTGGGTCTTCAGGGATATCCCCATCACTGCTGCCCCCACCATTGGGATCACCATCAGGGTCATCAGGGTCATGGTTGGGTCCATCATCTTGGTTACAAGGAGACAGAGTATGGAAGGTTGTTGGGTGGAGGTTGGAGTGACCAGCCTGTGAAGTGCTTTCACCTTCAGTGTGAGAGCAGCATCAAGCAGAGAAGGATTGAAACTGTTCAATGATGGAAGGGAGTCAATGTGGATTAGCCAGTGCTACACCAAGGTTCTCAGTGGCCTCTCTTTGGGATTGAGCTTGAATTCTCATAATGGTGTAAGTTTTTTGGAGGACAGAAAATGAGATCATACAAGTGCAAGTATGAATATACTGTCAAGTCTGGGCCTACTCTGACCAACTCCGACACTAGATGAGGTCTGGGGAGAGGTTCAGAAGCAAGTCCAACACAAGGGAACAGCACTCTGACTGGTGGAGTGTTGGCAGGAAAGAAGTCCACTGAGGTAAAGGCAGAGCAGAGTGAGGGTGTCAGGTTTAGCTCATGTGCTACCCCCTTGCATGATCTCAGCCCTCGTATTTCAGAGGGAGAGAATAGATGGAAAGTCAGAGGTAACTCCAACAGGCAGAAGATGGAGACAGAGGGAGTAGGAACTAAGTTGATATTTGTACTGAAGAACAGCAGAGTACAATACATGCTTTTATACTACTACAGAGGTACAGTAATCAGAATCAGAACTGACATATGGAGACTCATAAAACTTCAAGTAAAACTTTCTAGACAATGAATGAAGGGTAGATGGAGGACATACAAATGGGTAACATAGTACACCCCAAAAAGGGAACAGTCCAGGTGCTGGACCATGCAGTGCACATGCTGCAGAGTACCTGACTGCATGCTGTCAGGGAGAAGTCTGAAGGGTAGTCACATGACTCCTCAGAGAATGGTCTGTGCAGTCTGGTAGGAGAGCAGTACAAGGCCAACAGCAGTCAGAGTGGAGATGGTTTGTAAATGACAGAAGGTGGGTGGAGTTGGTGTGGAGTGAGTGAATGACAGGCAGAAAAGGGTGCAGAGTGAGTGGGGACTTAGAATGAATGCATGGTCATGACAGTTTTGCATTGTGACTAACAATTACTAGTGTTGTCCAGTATGTCTATCAGGAGCCTCCATGCAAGAGGCATCATTACAATGATTCTGACAATGAAGATCACCATGTGGCATGGTAGGTGCACTAAGCAAGTAGGTCATGTTTCACTCACTGTCTTGTGTGGGTCTTATGTTTGGACAATCACTCCTCATAGTCTTATACCATCATTCCCCCCACCTATGTAATAATTATTATTTCACTGACAAGTGGGCATCCAGATGATCCAGAAAATTCTACAGCTACAGTCTTTCTTTCACAAGATGACATTTGTGCTATGGAACATGAGGTTAATGAATTGAAAAAGTCAAAGTCTTCAACCCAAAGGAGGATGTGGACAGGGTTTGAAAAAGAATTAACACTCAAAATTGCAACAGCTACAGTATACTCTACTGTCCTCCACTCTCCCTGATCACATCCATGATGAGTATGACACACATCTTGCCTTCTTACTGCAAGGCATAGTAGAAGATGTTCCCCCTGCATCCTCTCCTCTACCAGAGCCTCATCCATAAAGTTTTTACTTGCTTCAATGAGAGTACAAGTGGGTGGAAAATGTAATCACCAATGCTCTTGTCACCCCCACAGACCCCTGCCACTTGATCCCTTTGACAAATGACACCTGACCTCCTTGTCTGGTTGTAGTCCATTGGCATCAGACAAGCACTGCCTCTTTACCATCCCACTGCAGTCTAGTAACAATTCCTTCAAGATGTGATATGCACAGCCACCCCCTAATACATAACCAATGCACTTACTTGGTTTCTGATGTTCCTTAACTCATACTTGGATGTTTTGACTGTCCTTGTCTCACTTGGCAATCTATGACATTGCTTAGTGACTTTTCACCTTTCCCTTATTGCTCCTTACCAACACTTACTGAGGCTTTCTCAGTTGATTCCAATGGCTTACATTCCTTAGTTATCAGTTACTAATCACTTACTGAGTATTTGCACCTCATTTTCCATAGGCTAAGTCCCTGAACTGTATACACATATCATTGGGGTTACCACCCACATTTTCCTCATATACTTGCACCAATTCTTCCTCACCAGGCTCTTATCCTCCTTGGAAGTTTGCTCATTCTGTATGTCCTCTTGGACATTGTCTGTTAACAGTTGCAGCTTTGCTGCACTTTTGCATCTATCCTTTTGAGGATGTGTCACAAAAAAGTTAAGCACCATAACAATCCTGGTGGCTTGTCATGTGACTGAGATGCCTAATTCAATGGTATACCAATGGCAATGTAATGATGTCTTAGACTGACTTATTATGTTAATGCCACAACAATACTCCATTAGGTATTAGAATGTGCACCTTAAGCCCAATGAATCATTGTAAGTGCATATCACATGATTGCTATTGATTAGATTCAACCATCAATTACAAAACATTACTGGTTGTGACACTGAGACCTCATTCTCTTCACCTGTGTCCTCTCCACCATGCCACCCCATCAAAACTACCAGTGATCAAAAGAATCTTCTACTAAGCAACCTTGCAGGTACTGTGGGAACCTCTACCTGCTGCAAGGGATCAAAAGGCATGAAGGGAGCTGTGTGAAGGAGCTCCAGAACTGTGAAGAATGGGTCAAACACAATAAGGCATACATATGGGATGTTCACTGGGATGAGGTGATCATTTTTATGAAATCCTCTCAACTGCCCATTAGCTTACAATGGTTGCCTACTAGCCAATATTGCTAAGGAAGCAGCCACTGCGACATCCTCATCATCAGTGCACCCTCACATTGCTGGATCTTTGGGTCCTGACTCTGCCATAGCTATGATACCAGCACCACTCAGACAGCCATCAGTAACAGTAGGCCCTTCACAATTTATTCCTGGTATGTAAACCACTAGTATGGCTCTCACTGACACTTACATGTTACTGGTCAGGATCACTGACTAGTTTTGCTCCTGATGAAGATGATGTGTTGATGGGCATGGTGGACCCTCATGGTAGGGGTATGTCAGACTCAGGTAGGTTCAGAGCATATGTGTCATAAGCTGGCATTTGAACTAATCTTTCATTGCCTATATGATTATAGACTCTGACATGTCAATAACAGCCCATGTGATGGGTCACTCAGTGAACTCCACTGCACCAGATGCCACAAATGACCATCCTCCCAACTTCAAGACCAAATTTCATGCCCATAGTAAGTGCCCAACCCTTTTCCAATCCACTGAAGAGTTCAGCCAGCAAAACCTTGAATGCATGCCCCCAGACTTGTCAGAAATAAGTTTGGCCCATTGCAATGATGCATTATTTTCACATGATGAGAATGTGATTGCGATCAGATTACCATGGGAGGTTGGAATCTCAGGTGTATCGCCACACAATTGCAACAAGTTTACAATGCATATACCTCACCCACTAAGTCTCAGCATCGCTGAATCAGCCTTCAAGCTTCAAACTTCACTCATTTACACCCATCCTCTTTGTTCATATCTCATTTGTTGTCCATACAGTCTGTAACTGTCAAATATGCCTGTGGAAAAACCAACCATTACCTGTGAGTCATGTGGAAAAGTGTTCAAACTGACTGGACTTGGACATCATTGCAAGTCATGTATCAAAAGAGCTTGCAGAGAGAAAGAAGATAATGCATATCTGGGGATGCTACATCAAGGTAGGCATCAATGCTTATGGATCACACTCTACCATCATTTTACAGTTTGCAGCCAGCTCAAGTGGCTCTCAGCAACTGCCTGAAGTTGACAATCCTGAATCTGGGTCTTCTGCCCAGCTATGTGCTGGCCCACAACAAGGTAAGGGTGATTATAATATAGTCTTCCTTAGTTTTTGAATTGATCTGGCTTGTTACAGACATCAATGATTTCTGGTTCATGCCTGAAGTGGGCAGTGCATTATGATATATTTTAGTAACAGATAGCCAAACAATAATCCAGCTGCAGGTGTCAACATTGGTGTCAATAATGTTGATGACATACAAATCAAATACCATCCACATGCTGCCAGGCCACCTCAAGACATACCATTTGCTGAGTTTGCCCAGGGCCACAGGCCAAAAGTGTACAAACCTGATACTTCCACTGATCCTTGGTATCCATTCTGATTGCATCTCAACTTCAAATTTTTGGAACTGGTCCTCGAGGCTGCTCTTAACAGGGATCAAGTCAACCATTTTCTCAAGTTGATAAAATCTGCCTGCTGCAGAACTGAGTCATTCATGCTGAACAAATACAGTGATCTTCACAGCATGTGGAAGGCTGCTTCACACCATATGATGGGAGTAAGTGAATTTCTAAGAACTTTCATTCTGCACTACCATCTAATCACACCTAGTCTAGTTCAAGAAAGAGTTGGTTCATGTAGTTGGTGTAGATGGCGAGTCACTCAAATTCCCCATGTATTATCATTTGCTTTTGGACTGGGCATTTGATCTTCTTAAACACCCTGGTGTGGGTCCACACTTTGTCTTTGATGCAAAGCATCTTTTCAAGTTTGATGGCTCCTCTTTTGTTTGCTTCATTGATGAGCCATAGACAGCTGATGACTTTTGGAACATCCAAGTGCATATGTATATTAGATAGATTATTGTTGCATGTCATTCCCCTAATATTCAGGACAAACTGCCTCCAGATGGGAAGGCTCTTCCATTTATTTTGTATGCTGACAAAGCAAAGCTGTTGTCATTTGGGCAACAGAAGGGATACCCTGTTGTTGCTCAGCTTGCCAACCTGCCAACTTGGATGCAGAATGGCAAAGACCTCAGGAGGTGGTCACATTGTTGGGTGGCTACCTGATCGTACATCATTCACCTGTTTAACTATTATCTTATTTTCATGTGCTTTGTAACAGGTGAAGGAAGACAAGGAACATTCTGGGAAACCTTGGTTTGCAAATTTCAAGAATGCAGTTTGGCATGAGTCCTTCAAGAAACTTTTAGGAACAATTGAGAAAGAGTCACAAACAGGCTGTTGGGTAAAATGTTGGGATGGTGTTCCACATTGCTTCTTCCCCATGATCCTCATTTTGTCTGCTGATTATGAAGAACAGTTCATAGTTGGTCCTGACATACTAATTCATTGACTGACATTCTTGACATTTAGGGCAGTCATGGCACTCATATGCAGTGTCAGGTCCAACTTCCCTTGTCCTGTGTGTCTCATCTGTCATGATGACATATCAAAGTTTCCAGCTTGATGCAAGCTTCATATGACTGATAATATTCTTAAGACATTGCAGGAGGTGTGATCACAGGACACTACTGAGAAAAGAGAACAAATTTTGATACAGCAGGGTCTTTGTGATGTTCATGTAAGCTCCCCCTCTGTTTCATCCACAATAATACTCCAATCTTTGCTAGAATGCATTCGTGGTCATTGCAAATACAGATGTTTATCATGCCCTGTCTTGGGATCAGCTGCATGCAAATTTTGCAGGAAAGTTTGGTGATCACCTGTGGCAAGAGCTTCTTAGGATCCTCGAGAAGGGAGGTCATCAAGTCATGGCAAAAGTGGAGCAGAAGTGAGTCTATTCTATGGTGTAGTGGGTGCCGGTATATTGACCAATTACTAGTTTCAGTGTCATGCCATGCTAGCACAGTCTAAATCACTTCGATGAAGCCCTCTCCATCTCATACACTGATGGCCAAAAATTTGGGGACTTGTCAAAGGTATGTATTCATTGCAAAGTTTAATTTTTGAATGGTCATATATTCTTAGCACAGATAGTTGTGTTCATGTGTCATGATGTCTTGTTACCTACAGAGATGGAGGGCTACCTCCTACTTTGTTGTCTATGCACTTATATTGAATTTGATTTGTATACAGGGCTCAAGTTACACATGGCACATACACTTGAGGCAGGCCAAGAGGCACTTGCAACATTTAACACTTTGATGCAGGTACATCTTGTAGTGACAACTTTAATTTGTGTCAACTGACCATTTTCACACAAGAAATTTTCTGAGAAAACTGAGACCACCAAGAAAACATGGAATTTCCCAAAGAACCACACATGCATGCATGTATTCAATGACATCAAAGCTAAAGGTGTCACATGCAAAATTTCAATACTAAGCCAAACAAGAAGATGCATGGGCCTTTGAAGGAGAAGTATCAAAGATGTACAAACTTCAAAAATGTCATGGAGCAAGTGTGCCATTCATGGTTGTTAGCTTGGTGTATCTGCAAAATTTACATATTCGCAGATTCTTGACATCAACCATCTTGAGTTGGTGTCCAGACTCATCTGTTGCAGGATTGCTGATTATGATACATATATGTCCAACACAGAAACCAGTGCAGGAAGCCCTGGTGGTGATGACACTGACAACATTGAGCAGGAAGATTTTTTCCATGTCAAGTTAGGGAGTAAAGTGAAGTATCCTTTAACCTTTGAAGACATTGAGCAGAGAAGTGCCACTGACAAGGCATTCACCTGATTCCAGGTGAAACTTAATGAGTTCCTCAATAGACATTTTACAACTGCAAGGAAACCTCTTCCAGGTGGCAAGGCCATCCAGTTCCAACCAAACAATCAGGTATGATTTTAGTCATATTCTTATGTATGACAAGGTATCTAACTACTGATGCAGATTATAGAATACAGATATATTAAAGTCAACTTTGAATCAATTGTCAATTGGTGCCAGTATACAGATCATTTATGGTGTAATCCCAGTTTCCATGGGTGCAGCTGTTACAATTGTGTGCTCCTCAAGACGCAGCAATGTGATATCTTTGGTTGACTAATCTTCATGTTCCAGAGCACGGTTTAGCTCTTGTGCAACCATATGATGCCTGAACTTGGCCACAAGCCATAAAGGACATGCATCTCAGCCTGTGGAGGGTCCATGAGCAACCCTGTGAATCAGCTGAAATTTTCTCCATGCACTCAATTATCCATGGTGTGCTTTTATACCCAGACCATACAAGAACTGGTGACTATCTTGTAATTGACACAATTGATACTGACATGTTTCTTCATGTGCAAATGATGCACAAGGCTGCCAGGCACCACTGAGATTGTAAGTCATTGACCAGCCCTTGAATGTGTTTGCCCCTGCTTATCACTTCTTTCTCCAATGGTAAGTTTACTACCTTCTTGTTATCCATCGCCACTGAGGTCTGCATATCTGCCACCACTGTAATATACCATATCGTCATTGTCCACTGCCCTGAGACTTGCTCTCATCCACTTGATGTGGATGTCACCAGCCTCTTCAGTACCCCACCCAAGCCCAGTTTTGACAGGGTCAGCCCTTTTCCAACTCACATCTTCACTTGATTTTGCAGGGGTAGGCCCTTTTCCAACTTACATTTTTGCCCAATTTCACAAAGGTTGGCACTTCCCTGACCCACATCCTTGCCTGATTTCGCAGGGATTGTCCCTTTTCGAACTTACATCTTTGCTTGAGTTCACAGGGATCCAACTTGTGTCTTGACAAAATCAGGTGACTCCCCCACTGTCTTTACTCCTCAAGGTTTAGTTCTCATCCAACTTCAGATTTGCAGGGATAGGCCCACTTCCTACTTACATACTTGACAAAGTGACTTTGAGTCCTGTTCTCTTGGCCCATGTATCTTGTAATCCATCCACTGGGTTCACATGCCTCCCTCCCCCATTCATGTAACATGCCACCTCCCACTACCTTCGAGACTCCCTCCCATTCCTGTTTGATGCAGATGTCACCAGTTTCTGCTGCACTGCACCCATGCCTATGTCCTGTGCCAAGTCATTGGTGATTGCTATGGCATCACCATTGCTCGCACAGGCAACTATGTGTATGTGGTACATCAGAACATCTTATAGCTGCACATGCCTTTACTCACTCATGTGCAAGGCATCCTGTGGTCATTGATTGCAAAGAACACAAACTCCGAAAGTGCCCAGACAACCCCATTAGTAGTGGCCTTCATGAAACATGGGGAATGTCTCATTGGCTTTCCTGCAAAGCATCAAGCTGTCATCAACCCATCCAACACTGTCTTCGCATTCAAGCATTTGATTGGTCACAAATTCAAGGAAGTGGAGGTCCAGGAGGATATGAAGCACTGGTTAGTATATGCCATAAGCATTATTTAAGTAGGAAAGCATCTTATATTGTCCACAGGGCATTCAAGGTGGTTGAGAAGCCATGTGCTCATCCACCAGCTGTCAAGGTTGACATTGGCAGCAGGAAACAACAATTCATATGTCATTGCAACTCTTTTGATCAGTAAGAGAACTAATGTACTTTCTAGAGTGCTGAGGAGCTATTGTCTATGATACTTACCAAGATGCATGCAACTGCCAAGCAGTACCTCAACAAGGAAGTCAAGTAAGTTTCATGCATATTATCTATGAGTTCTCCAGTGTTGACTGCTATGATTAGCAATGCAGTCATCACAGTCCCCACATACTTAAATGATGCCCAATGGCAGGCTACCAAGGATGCTGGTCAAATCACTGGCCTCAAAGTTCTCTGAGTCATCAACAAGCCAACAGCCATGGCATTGGCATATGGCCTTGACCATGCCAAGTTGCTGGTAATTGCTGTATATGATCTTGGCTGTGGTACCTTTGATACCTCCATCTTGGAGATGCATAAGGGAGTCTTTGGGGTCAAGTCTACCAACAGAGACACCCACCTTGGTGGTGAGGACTTCAACATTGCTCTCATCACCCATATCCTCAACAAGTTCAAGAAGGAGTCAAGTATTGACCTCAGCCAAGACTGCATGGCCATTCAGCACATTTGTAAGGCTGCCAAAAAGGCCAAGATCGAGCTATCATCCACAATGCAGACTGAGATCAACTTGCCTTTCATCACTGCAGATGCAACTTGCCCCCAAGCATATCAACATGAAACTCAACTGTGCTCAATTCAAGTCCCTTACCAGCCTCTAATCTAATCCAACATACCATTGATCCTTGCAAGTTTTGAAGGATGCTGTAGGTATCCTCAGTAGTGCAACAAGCTACTGATGTATTAGACCAACCTGTAGGTATCTACAGGATATCAGTAAGTATAATACTGGTAGTGAAAGTGAGCTTACCCTCAGTAGTGCAACAAGCTACTGAGGGAACAGTGAATAAACTACTGTAAAATGTGCGCTCTAAGGTGATTATGTAAGCACCCAAACATCGCACCAAAGTGAGCAGAACACAGGGGAGAATATATCTCCAACAGCAAGAAGGCATTGTCCAATGCCAGTGTCAAATCTAGTGAAGTGAACAAGGTCATCCTCATTGGTGGTATGACCTGTATGCCTCTTCTTTTTGATATCACTCCACTCTCACTCAGTATTGAAACTCTCAGTGGAATCATGACCAAGCTTATCAACTGCAACACAACTATTTCAATGAAGAAGTCACAGGTCTTCTCTACCACTGCTGACAGCCAGACCACCATTGAGGTCAAGATCTTCCAGGGTGAACATGAACGTGTTCAGGACAACAAGCTCCCTGGCAACTTCAACCTTGTTGGCATCCCTCCTGCTCTGAAGGGCATCCCCCTAATTGGGATCACTTTTGACATCAATGCTGGTATGTGCCTTTTGTGTGCCTTTAGATGATTTGCTGACCTCTTCTAGATGGTATTGTCCATGTCACTGCCAAGGACAAGGCAACCAGCAAGGACCAGTCTATGATGATCATGTCCTTGTTGGGTCTGAGTGACAAGGACATTGGGCACATGATCTCTAATGCTAAGAAGTATGCTGATGCAGATAGGGCATGTCAAGAACTCATTAAGGAAGCAAACAGAGGCAAGTCAGTCTGTGTGGACACAGAGAAGGGTACATATTTACTGCATGGTACTTCACTCTCCTGCATTAATTCACATCTGTTATAGCAATGAATGAGTCAAGGACCAACTTGATGCTGCCAAGAGGGAAGTGTTGAAACCCATTGGCAAACTTCATGAATTGGCCTTGAAAGGTCTCACTGGCAATGCCTCTGTCACTGCTGAGCAAATCAAGGAGAAGATCAGTGAGACTTGACAAGCTTTGCTAGGTCTTTTCCAGAACGGTGTACAAGGAGTGTAGCACACAGAATACATCCTCTTCAGAGCCAACAGAAGGCTCTGAGGACAAGGATCCTGACACACCTTGCACATTTCCATTTCCCAACTCACTTGGTTTTGGTTCATCCACCATCCCCCCCTTGCATTACATCCATGAACTCATGCATGCATCATATAGACTCATGAGAAGTACTGCCCATCTAAGGTCTACTCAAGGTAGCCAGGCTGCTCTCTCTTGCACCACAACCCACAACCCCTGCTCAGTGTGCCACTGTTCTATGCTTTCTGCATATTGTAACTATATGTACATTGACCAAGCTCATAGGTTTGAAGACATTAGGGCCTATCATGAAAGGAACACACTGTTGTTGACCTTGTGGCTGACACATGCTACTTGTTGAATGTGAAGCACAGCACCTTGGAATGTAAAGTGGAGTCTACTTAGGGAATCATGAGGTGCATTGAGACAGTATTTGTTGAAAGTACACATATCCCAGCTGGTAAGCAGACTGGACCCTTGATCCATGCTGACCTCATCAGACTTACTGATGTCCTTTTGGCAAACATATCTGGCCTCACTGTCAGATTGTGGCACAACTCCAAGTCTTTAAATAATGTGAAGAAATGGACCAATGCCCAGGCATCCTATGCCCACAGGCCACCCACATATTGGTCCCCCTATGATGTCTCTGAGTGGCTATTCTCAATCTGCTTTTGCTGGCCTGGACAGCTCAGATGATGAGGAAAGTGCCAACACTCAGACCCCAAGTGTGTCATCCAGGGCCCAGCCTGGTCTTGAAGAGGTACGTCATCCATTTACATGCAAAGTATTGTTTCTAATCAAACTACTTTAAAAATTAACAGGCCCTCAGAACTGCACAGCTCCAGCTTGATGTTGAAAAGACCCGCAATCAGGAACTGAAAGAGAAGAACATGGTTCTAGATGCTAACAAGCCACAGCATTCAAAGAAGAACATCCTACCAGAGCTACTAGCATATGATAGCAAGATTCAGATGCTGGTGAAGAAGTATGGTGTCACTACAGAACTTTTCTTCCCTTGCACACTGACAACAAATGTGATATCCCAACCATCTCCAGTATCTGTGCCATCTTTCTCAACCACTGACCACTATGCCACTGCTCTTACTGAAGAATTCTGTCTTGTTGCAGAGCTGGATGCAATCCTTCCAGACCACTTGTGCCATGTCCAAAATTTGAATTCTTTTCATGATCTGGTGTGTGACATTAGTTAACCTCCCATTAATATACATGGCTGATGAAACCATCTAGTTCACACAAGGAATGCAGTCTGGGTGATCCAACATTCTGTACAAACTGTGAGACAGTGCAGAGCAAATATTTGGCCTCCTGAAGGCAAATCTCATACCCAACTTCCCTTGTCTTGAAGTTCCAGAGATTGTCAAGATGCTTGGAGTGAAAGATGTGGGGACTGTGAGCCTGTGTTTCACCATGTGGTATCCACTTCTCTTCAAGGATATGAAAGTTGACATATGGAAACTGTTCATGAATTGGCAGCCTCTCATGCAGGTCATGATTTGGCATTGCTATATTATCTAACTACTAATGTATTTACAGATTTTGAAGGCAGCATTATGGGGCAAGGCATTGCTTGCCAAGGGTTTCATGCAATGCAGTGGACCAAAAACAAATGGGCGGAAATGGCAAGTCACTGCAGTCATGCCAGGGTCAATTGCTGGGGCTGCCACTATTGTAAGTGAACTACAGCACCATTTACTGAAACTGATCACCTCTAGTGTATGTTCCTACTTTCCCCAGATACTGAATTTCTGGGAAATGGCATTGGACACATGTCCAAGGTTGATTATTACAATGTATTCTGTGCCTACAAGTGCATCCTCATTGTGAAGTGGACTGACACACACATCCAGAGGGTTATTAGTGAAATGAATGCCTTCATCTTTGGAAAGCTGGGAATGGTCTCTGCCCAATCTGCAACTGGTGTGATTGAAGACCTCTTGGCTGAAATTGATGCTGCAGCACTGACCTCAGAGGACAACAATGACAATGAACTGACTGATATTGGACCACCTGCAGATCCATTTCCCAACCCTCCACCAACAACCACACCACCACCCAATGACAATTTGACAACACTACCTCACTGCACTGCAGACAGACCACCTATCAATAATGCTACTGAGTCCATCAGTACCAATGCACCTAAGTCTTGTAGGGGGAGGGGCAGTAGACATAGACAGGTCAAGTAGCTAGTCACAGCCTGACACCATTTATTTGCAAAATAATTAGCATTGTCATTTGGTAGTACAAAGTGTTGCCAAATTACTAAGTCCTTAAGAAACTACATAAGAGGACTTGACTTACAAGTGGTAAGTGTGGACACATGGTCTAGCAGTAAACTGTGCCAGTTGTAAGTCTTCTTAGTGTTAACTACCAGTTCACTAATCAAGTTTGCTAATTGAACTTTAATAGGTTGCAAGTTCGAATCCATAGCACCCAACTTAAAAAATTGTAGTTACAATAATTAGTCAGTAACACTAACAGTAATAGTAATACCAGTGCGATGTGATGTATATTAGATCAAAATAATGAGATGTGTGTAACAAAATGATAAGGAAGCAAAGATAAGATAAATGTGATGTGAGTTGCTTTTTTCTCACAATTTTAATTGCTACATTCACATGGTTATTGCAATGGCATTGTGATACTAATTATGACAACACAGGGTCCATGTTATCTCATCTATTGCCATAGATGGCAATGTGCCCTGACTACATTGGAAGGCAATTGCAATGCCACCATAACATGAGGGTGATTAACCCACAATTGGTGATATGACCCCCACAACCCTAGTGTAATGGTCATTGCAATTTCCATTGCAATGACATGACAACTATATAACAATTCAAATTTCAGTTCAAGCTTTACCATTGCAATGCTATCGCAAGCAAGCATTTCATTTTAATCATTACAACCGCTTGTAATCCATTTAAATAATTTTACAAAATTTCTGACACTGTGAGCCTTGGTGCCCTTTTGCCTCAGAGGGCAATTACATCTTTGCCTTGATCACCATGGAAGCTGGGCTCAGCTCAAATCAAGTTGACTCCCATCTCAAGTTGGTTCACTGTATAAGTCAAGGAACTGCAAGTGTCATGCTATGCAACAATGCTGGGCTATGTACTGCTTTGGATAGAGTGGCAGCACAGTTAACACTGGTAAACTCTTTGTTACTGGCATGCTTTTGATGTATGGCTCACTTCCCAGTCATTTGTTAGTTCTCCAAGTTCAAAATTACTGTGCCCTATAAGGGCAATGATGTGACATTCCCCATCCATATCTGCCCTCTGTGGGACTGGGCCCTCAACCTCTTGCAAAATTCCTCCCTTGCACCACACTTCATCTGGGATGCCCAATGGCTCTTCAAACATGATGGTGAGAGATATGAGCACTTCTACATGGAACCTTGGACAAGTGATCATTGGTGGGATATTCAAGTACATTGTAATTAATGTTATCTCATACCACCATGCTTAGTAAATTTACTATCCACTTTTTTGTGTTGTGCCAATAAAGTCACAGTTACCCAGTCATGTGGATAACAAGGTCCCATTCACATTTATAATTTATGCTGACAAGATGCAGCTATCATCCCATGGTACTGTCAAGGGTTACCCTGTCATAGCACATTATGTGAACCACCCAGTTCATGTTCACAATGGTGAACAATATGGCAGTGGCTGCATTATTGGCTGGCTTCCAATTGTGAGTACCATGCCTTTGTTTTTGAGCAATAGTGAATAGATCTAATGGGTTTTACAGGTTCCTGAGCTTGCAAAAGAAGAGGGGAAGACTGGCTATGCAAACTTCAAACATGTCATCTGGCATACAGCATTTTTTTTAGCTCCTCAAGAAGGTTGTGGAGCTCTCAAAGGTTGGCTATCTTCATGGATGCTACAACAAGGTTCTCTGCTGGCTCTTCCCACTTGTCCTTATCCTGTCTGCTGACTATGAAGAACTGTAGGTACTAACTTCTCTGCAACCTGATCATACTTACCAAGCCTTCCTAGCTGTGTGATGACCCTTATATGAGGCATGAAGTCCAAGTGCCCTTGCCTGTTTTGTTTGGTCCCCTTGGAGTGGCTTTGGGATCTAAAGAAGACATATGAAATGTGTACTACTGAGCAACACAAAAGAGCACTGGCATTATTTGAGGAGAAGAAGATGGTTAGTGAGAAGAAATTGAAGTCCCCCAGGTTACATCCTGTCAAGGTAGGTCTTTAATACATGTACTATGTTTGCGACTGATGGAATGTACAATAGAATGCTTTTTGGTCAGTAGAACATTTAGAGCCTGAACAGGCTGCCAGTTTTGAGCCACTTCACTCCCTGCATGGTGGCATGGGAGGCAAGCACATCCATGGGGAACTCAGGATTGTCATCAGTGAGCTTGGCTGCGATTCCGAGACATGTTTAGAAGCACAGTAAGAATCTACTTAGTCTGTGCAATGGGCTAACTGTTGTGCAGAGTTTCTGCCATTCCCTGTTTGCAAGGCCTCACACATTTCAATACAGTGATTCACATCACATTTTCCAATGGAAATAAAATGTGAGATCTCACCAGGGTAAGTCGATTAGGACATGTTTAAATGTAGTTCAATGGCTAACAATCTCTCTGGTATAGCAATGTTTCTATGCCTCCCTCAACATTTTGACACTGATGATGTGTTGAGATGGGTATCAGTTACTTTGTATGATCAGTAGCTACCTGCGACTCAATACCCTCATTGGACTTGATGTACATACTGAGAAGACTCTTGGTATGATCAAAGATGAACTTCTTGTCTTCAGGGATGAACTAAAGGTATTCTGTTCATCCAACCATCTATTATCATGTAATGATTTTCTATAACAGTTGTACTGATCCTTTGTTTGTTATTTGGATGATACAGATCTGAAGGATAATTGGAACTTTCTGAAGGCGCATCTCTGGAAGCATGTTACCTGTGACATTTGAAGCAAAGGCATTGTTTGTAACTACAGTGCCTGGCACAATGAGAAAATGCATGGCCTGCTCAAAGATGCATACCAGGATCACTCAAATGAAAAGGATATTGCAGGGCAGGTACAATTTAAGTTCCTCTCACTTATGCAATTGACTCATGATTCATCACTCAGATTCTGTGCTGACCACCACTGACTTGCAACCAAACTCATTCAGGCACACATCAATGCAGAAAACAAGTGTGTTAACAATGCTATCAACAATGATGAGGACCACAACACAGTACTTGAAGGGAATGCCAAGCTCAGCACACCCCAACAGACTCACTCACTCTCTGATGTTGAGAACACTAACCAAAATGGCTGGGTGTTTGATGGATTCTGTCAGAAGCTAGAAACCTTCCTCAACACTTGCCCCCTGACTTATGGGTTCCCCCTTGACAAGTGGATACAATTATGAGGACACATACAGTACATCCCCTTCCCTTTATATACAGACTTATCCACATTCCTCCAAAGATCCAGGAGTATCGATATTTGAAGGTCCAGTATGCTTCAATGGTGGACTGGGAGGTCACTGTGAACTACCTCCAATGTAATCCAAGTTTCCATGGTTGGCCACAATACAATTGTGCCTTCATTCAGCTTTTGGAGACAAAGACTGCTTTCATTTGACTCATATTCATGTTCACTTCTAAGGTTGCAGTGTTCAAAGACACTTCTCAGTTTGCCCTTGTTCAGCTGCTCACTGCTGGGACTGGAGTGTGCAGGTTGGACATATTGGCAGAGGAAAGGGGAAAGGGGTGAGAGCTAGGCAAGCACTTGCCTTCATTCTTGGAGAGAGCTTGAAGAAGTAAATGGTTTTAAGTAGTTCTGACTTAAGAGTAGAGCTCATAGTCAGGTAAGAGGAATGTGAATTCACTGAGGGGACTTGGTAGAAACCCCTGGGTTTATATACATGTAGGAATGAGCACAGACCATGAGCACATATGGTAAGTAAAAAGAGTACCTACTATGTATAGCAAAGAATAGAATGGAACATCATAGAATAAAGTGGAGCTAAGTGGAGTAACTTAGCAAGCATGATATCATATGAGTAACACTCATCTAATAAGCAAGTCTAGAACATGGCTATGAGAAACACTGAGTACCAGTATTTCCAACACTCCCCATCACTCTAGAATGGTAGGGTGATTAGACCCATCAACAAGTGATTTGTTTCAAATTTCTGCCAGGTTAAAGACTTGGTTAATGCATTGGCCTTTTGTTGGTCCATCTGGATATATTCAATGGCAAAGAGATTGTCCTGGACACATTCTCGAATGAAGTGCCATTGGACATCAATATGCTTAGAGTGACCATCAGAGACTGGGTTCTCAGCTATGAAGCGAGCTCCCATATTATCACAATAGAGAATAGTTTTCTCTATGTGAATGTCTAGCTCTTTATATAGCATATGAAGCCATTTAATTTGTCTGGCAGCATCACATAAAGCCATATATTTGGCTTCAGTGGAGGATAAGGCAATAGTCTTTTGTTTTCTTGATTGCCAAGAAATTAGGGAGGTGCCAAGAAACATAGCATAGCTGGTAGTAGAATGATGAGTGTCCACATTGGCTGCCCAATCAGAATCCACAAAGCCAAAGATCCATGATTCAGTCCCAGAATAATATAGCACAAGCTTTGGAGTGGAAGCAATATATTTGACTATATGGAGTGCTTTATTTTTGTGTTCTTCTGTAGGATTCACCATGTACTGAGACATGCAAATTACAGCAAAGGCAACATCTGGGTGAGTTCCCAGTGCCATATACAGAAGAGAGCTGATAATGCTCTGGTATTGGGATTGAAGAGCAGAGGTTGCCTGATAGGACAATTCTGGTTTTGATGGTTGGTAGCCAGAGGGTAATGGAGTGTGAACATTGTGTGCATTCTCCATTTGGAATCATTTGATCACCTTTTTGACATAAGGGATCTGATCCAGGTAGATCTTGCACCTAGCACAGTTTCTGTGGATCAGTAGACTGAGATATTCTTTGCATTCTCCAAGGTCTCTTGATTCCCATTTCTTCATAAACTCATCTTTCTTTGCTTTTAGGAGTTTAGGATTAGATCCTAAGAATAATCCATCATCAACATAGACTAGGAAGATGACCATGCCTGCATTGGATTTAAAAATATAAATCCCTGCATCCACTTTGGATCTTGTGTAGCCTGTGTGAAGAAGGGAAGCATGTAGGGCTTTGTTCCATGCTAATGCTGCTTGCTTTACACCATAAAGAGCTTGCAGAAACCAATAGACCTTGTGCTCTTGACCTTTCACTTTGAAACCTTCTGGTTGTTCCATATAGATTCTTCATCCAGATTGCCATATAAAAAGGCAGTCTTGATGTCCAGGGTGCTCATTTCCCAGTTCTTCTGAGCTGTGAATGATAGAAGAATTTGCACAGTCTCAAAATGAGTGACCAGGGAGAAGGTGTCTTCAAAGTCAGTTCCAAATTCTTGTGTGAAACCCTTTGCCACAAGATGAGCTTTATACTGACCCTTGCTTTTAATAGTGAAAACCCATCAACACTTGACTGGTTTGTGATCCAGTTTTGGGTCCACGACTGTCCAGACATTCCTTTCCTCAATTGATTTAATCTTGTCCTTCATAGCATTGAACCATTTCTTTTGGAGTTCAGGATTAAGTTTCAGGACATCTTTATAATGTTCCAGAGACTCTTTAATGCATGCAGTGAGGGGGAATTCAAAAGTATTTGTGAAATATCCTTTCTGATCTTCTTCTTCTTTGATGCATGCAGTTTGAGATGGACCAGCTTCAGGAGATGGTGGAGCAGTAGATTGGGGAAGAGGAGTCAAGGGTGACATGGGAGGATGTGAAATCCATTCCCTTGGAACAGAAGGAGGTTGTGGCCAAACAGGTGATGGTGGCCTTCTCTCTTCTTGTACCCTTCTTTGACCTTCCCTAGTATTGTGAGCATGTTGCTCAGCATTATGAATCCATTCCTGAGCTTGATCTTGGTTATTTTGAATATCCCTTTCTATTTGGACAGGAGGTCTGGCCCCTATATACATTGTCTGGTCAAATAGCAGGGATAATTCTTCTTTTAGGATGAGGTTCTGAGTTTTCAGCTTGTTCCAGGTATGCCCTTCTAAGATTTCTATTATCCCCAGGAACAGGATATGGAATATGAGGATGCTGAATAATGCAAGGGTCAACTAGAGGAACAGCAGCAGGTGCTCTGTGTGGTCAAGGAGGTAACTGTGATGGTCTGTTTTGTTGACCACCCTGCTGTGGGTTTTGATAATGAGGAGGAAGTGGAGAATTCTGTGGTTGGACTGGATGAGGTCCAATGGTGGGAGGATCAATCCCAAAATCTGGTAGGTTTCCAATTGAATCATCATTTGGTCCAGCAGATTGGTCAGAGTCAGAATCTGGGTCATTTGAGGTATTGGATTTTCTTTCTCTGCTATCTGAACAGAGTGGAAAGGAGTCTTCTATGAACTTGGCAGTGCAAGATAAAATGATCTTGTGACCATGTAAAAATCTATAGCCTTTTGTTTTTGGTTCATATCCTAAAAAGATCATTTCAATTGCATGTGGGTCCAACTTATCCTTTTATTGTTCTTTTGGTACCCAAACATATGCCTTGCAACCAAAAGTGTGAAAATAAGAAATATCTGGAATTTTCCCAGTGAATAATTCAGCTGGAGTCTTGAAGTTAATCCTTTTGAGTGGTGTTCTATTGTACATGTGTAGTGCACAGTCAAATGTGAAGGTCCAGTATTTCTTTGGAACACATGCATGATGATGAATGGCTCTGGATTTTTCCAGAACAGTTCTATTAAATTGTTCTGCATGGCCATTTTGTTGTGGCTGATCAGCTATAGAAAGCTGATGTGCAATTCCTTGTGAAGTGAGGAGTGCCTTGAAAGCATTTCCCATGAATTCTCCCCCTTGATCTGAATGGAGAGTAGATAATTCCAAGCCAAGTTGGTGTTGTATAGCAACCAACCAATCAGCAAATTGTCGATAAGTGTCAGATTTATTCTGAAAATAAATGCAGAAGCTGAAGGAAGAGTAGTCATCAAGTAGTGTAAGAACATACTTGGACTGGAAATAAGACTTGATGGGAAGTTCCAAGAGGTTGGCATGAATGAGTTCAAGAGGTTGAGTTGCATGTTTCCAGGATGGTTTAAAGGATTCAGAGGCTGTTTTTCCCTGAGCACACCCTTTGCAGGACAGAATATTCCCTGTTAAGGGTATATCCAGAAGACCCAACTGGCAAAGATGGTGAAGAATATTATTAGTCAGGTGTCCTAACTGATTATGCCAGAGTCAAGTAACCAAATGGACTTGCCTTTTGGTAGTGTTTGATAGACTGACATGTCACATGGGTAACAGTCAAAGGCATCATATGCATTATGATTGAATTCACCAGGGTGATAACCACTGACTGAGTTCTCTGGGTCATAGTCAAAGTCTGGTACATCAAGACAAATAAAAGGATGAGGATGGATATGAGTCCTTGGATTTAGTACACTCACATGGAAGTCTGCTAATGAAACTGTAACACCTCTGTGAGATTTTTGGGAAGACTTGGAAATATGTCTGTCTCCTCAAACAATCTGCAAGCTTGTCTCTGCAGAATTCCTCTCTCTTGCCACACCTGCACTAGCCACACTGGTAACTCCCACTCCATCCATGGGTTGGATGGATGGACCAGATACCAGCAAGGTTCCCTGCTCAGAAGAGGGAAACAGAATTGTCCTTGAAAGAGGATCCATGTCCTTCCATTGTAAGAGTTCTGGAAGGGGTAAACCCATTCTGAAACCCATTGAGGCTGAGTGGTAGAAGCACAGGCAAATAGTGCAAAAGCAAGGAGAATTAGATCTTGGTATGTTGACTTGAGGAGTGACTGACTCAACTTCATTCATAAAGGAGTTCTGTATCTCCTCCTGGTACCATTCCGAGAGAGTACTGTTGGGTTGGATTGGCAAAGTTGGAACATGTCCAACATGTTCCATGGCCATTTCAATATCCTCAGCAGTTAACTTGGGTGATGGAACCTGAGAAGTGACAATAGTGTGGGCACCAAGTGTAGTTTCCATGTCAGGAGACATTACTGTCTCAACTGGTTCATCCAGAGAATACTCTGGGGATTGAGGGCAGATGCAGAAATTAATTGCATCAATTTCATAAACATCAGAGGGATAGTTTTCAGGCAGTTCCTCAATAGAGGTGAGGTTAAGTTCCTCAGCGCCCTGTCCCAGAACATCTAGTTCATTGGCTTGGGCTCTTCCCTTGCCCTTGCCATGATGCCTGTTTTGGTTTTGTCCTCAGTTGGATGAACCACCCTGCTGATTGTTTTGAGGGTAAGGTTGGTAAGAACCACCTCCCCCTCATCTGCAATTTCCTCAGAAACCACCATGGCCACCACTGCCATGTGAGTTACCAGATCCACCTCGATGGTCCTGTGTATTATGCTGGCCCTTGCAAATATTGCAGAGGGGTGGCTTGTTCATGTGAGTGAGTAAGGAATTAGACTCCTTTTTGACTTGAGTTTGGGAAGAGCCAGAGGCTTCTCCCATTTGTCTTGGTAATAATGATTGTCTGGACCAATGAGATCAGAGTTCCTTCATATGAGGAATCACTTTGTCTGGTTCTAGTTGTGTGGGATCAATGGATGATAGGATGTTGGTGGGAGCTTGGTCCCAGGAGGCAGTCATAGAGTGAACCAAAAGAAGCAACTTCATTTTATTATCCAAGGTAATGCCCTGACCAGAGATGGTCTTGAAGAGCATATTGATCTCAGCAATTTTGGCCATGAGATCATCCTTGGGTTTGATTTGAATTTTAAGGAGTCACTGGAACTCCATGAAAGTAGTCATGGCAGATGGTTTGCCATACTTCACCTCAAGGTCATCCCATTTGAGTTTTGAAGTGACATGGGCATCCATGGAGAGAGCAATCATGGGATTGCAGTAGAGGGTGATACACCCTTGAGCTCTAGAGTTGGAAATCCTCCAGACTCAAGCTTCATCTGCATCTGCAGGTAATGCCTCTGTGCCAGCAACAATATTCCACACTCCTAGAGTCTGAAAATATGCCTTCATCATAACACTTCAAACAGCATAGTTCATCTCATTGAGCTTTGGGATGTTCTTTCTGAGACCTCCTTCAGAAGACATTCTAATACATGTCAAGGATTAGATGGTCATATAGGAAAGTTGATCATGGATTGGTGAGTCCAGGGTTAAATCCTTGGTTGAGAAGAGTGCATAAAGCCTTTCAGCATTTGGCAGCTCTGGCCTGTTGCAAGGGGTGGTTAACTTGTTTCCTCAATGGGTTTCTCTTTTGTTTCAGTTCTGGTTCCATGCCTTTCTCAGCATATTGCCAGTTGGCAATGCAAGAATTCCTCTGAGCATTGTACTTGACAGAATCGAAGCACAAGTCAGGGAAATAATGGTAGGACAAAAGCAACCAGCCCATTTCATGAAGTCCATGGGGGTTCAAAAAGCCTAACCATTCAGAGGCACAAGAATAAGGAAAAGGGAACCAGCCATATATGCAATTGCCATACTCTCTAGATGTAAGAATTTTGAAAGGATTGTAGGAACTATCTAGAGATGGGGCAAGAGATCCATCAGGATACTTGAGGAACCAGCCACCTGATGTGTATGGTACATCCATTGTACCAGGGAGAGGATAGTTGGTGACAAGTTTCAGCAGCCATGCAAGCCTGAGCAAGAGTGTTGGCAAGTAATCTGCAATGTCTGGGTTGGCTGAAAGCCATGCCAGTATCACAGGCCATCACATGTTCAAAGTCAGCCATAACCATGTCTGTTCCTGGTCAGTAAGTGAACCACTTCATACCAGTAGAGTCAACCCACCAAAGATGTTGGCAAGCTTTATCATATCCAGTTCTGGAATCATCCAAATCTCCACAAGCCTTAAACTTGTCAACAAACTCCAGTAATTGGAGGTTGAACAAGTGACCTCTGTGTTGACATTCTTGGAAGAAGAGTGGGATGTAGTCAATGTCAGTGATTCCTTCACACCAAAGTCCTCTGTAATGGCCTTCCAAATACTTGTGCCAAACCCTGAGAGGAGGGATGAGCTCATGGAAAGGGTTTCCTGAGATGTAGAGGGGATGGCAGTTGTGGTACATGTAGACAAACATGTCATGAGTAATGGTGGCAGCTGGAACAGTCCAGAGGGCACAATCTTCATAGGTAAGACTAGGAAGGTCACAACTATTAAAGTTAGTGATGGCATTGGGTGAAGACAGGAAGGAGATTTTTGGGTGAAGTCAGTAAGGTAGCCATGGAAAGCATTATGGAGACTGGGAAGTTCGAATGGTGTATTGAGGCCTGGATAAGTCAGGAAGCTGTCCCAAGTCACCTCAATGAGGGACAATGGGACATGGGTGAGTAGGGGCTGTGGGTGCACAAAGAAACTCCTACTGCTGGGTACAGCATAGCACCAATGGGTGTGCTCTCTAACATATAATGCCTCCATATATTCAATCACCTTTTTCACATACTCCTCTCTCCACTTATTCCCCTCATACATAGCATCATGTTCCCAGGAAATCTGAGTTTCAGTACACTTGGCAACCATGAGAGACATGACTGAAAGAAGCACATAAGATTCCATTCATAAATAGTGAAATGATGCAGCATTAAAGCAAATCGAACTCAGTGTGGTCAGTGTTGACCACAAGATTGATCTCAGTGACTAAGGCCTGAGCCTTGGTGAGAGCATCATTCAATGCCAATACCAACTCAGCAGGAGGAGTCAGTTCCTGATGGGGAGAAGGTGGGTCAGCATCTCCTTCCTCTGTGTATGGCAGAACAGGATCTAGGTCAGCCTGATTGTCATGGTCTGGGAGCATGTGAAGGAGATAGTGGGGAGGATGAACAAATGACAGTGGAGGTAGACATTGAAAGTTGGCAGTGACAGCAACAGCAATATGACTGTGCAACCAATAAAGGTAAATGTTGCACCATGCCAGTACACCTAAAGCAGCTACCCAAAATGCAATAGAGGCAGTGAATAACTCCCTAAAAGACCCAAAGTGTCCAAGGTATAAAAGAAAAATGGTCTGATAAAAACCCACAAGAAGTGACACAATGAAAGCAACTAAGCTCCATCCTAGTGCATCTAGGCCATCAAAAGGCATGCTGATTTGTCCATTGACAGTGATCAGTGAATGCTCATTCAACAATAGCACACCAATGGGTTAGACATTGGGGCTCATAAAGGGGAAAGGGGTGAGAGCTAGGCAAGCACTTGCCTTTATTCTTGGATAGAGCTTGAAGAAGTAAACAGTTTTAAGTAGTTCTGACTTAAGAGTAGAGCTTGTAGTCAGGTAAGAGGAATGTGAATTCACTGAGGGGACTTGGTGGAAACCCCTGGGTTTATATACACATAGGAATGTGCACAGACCATGAGCACATATGGTAAGTAAAAAGAGTACCTACTATGTATAGTAAAGAATAGAATGGAACATCATAGAATAAAGTGGAGCTAAGTGGAGTAACTTAGCAAGCATGATATCATATGAGTAACACTCATCTAATAACCAAGTCTAGAACATGGCTATGAGAAACACTGAGTACTGGCATTTCCAACAGGACCAAGATCTTCAACTTGTTCAAGTCAAAGCTGTATCTCATGCAGCATCAATATTCATTCCTGTGAAGTCGATCATCTGAGGTGCAGTGCTTTACCCAGATCCAAGCCACCATGGTGAGTTTTTGGTTGTTGAACACACTGATGGAGACATGTTCCTTCACATGAGGGAATGGATTCAGACCCAGCCCCAAGTGCAGTTGCCAACTGACCAGCCTTCAAGTTCTGACTCTGGTCAAATGCCAGCTGAAATACAAAGCAATACTTCAGATAAGTGATCCTCATTGTCATGCATTACTTCATTGAAACTGATGTAATTCTATACTATCATAGGGTCAGAGCAATTAGATGATCTTGGAGGGTTAGTGTCAGAATGAACATGGTTGGTTTGCACTATACATTTCTGTGTTCACCATGCTATTACCTCTTATTGCATCATTGTATTTCTATAATATTACTGCTGATAACGGTTGCCAGGGAGTGACTGCATGGAATTGCAGTGATGGAAGAGTCAATGAAATGATGTCTAAAGTCACACCACATGTTAGTGTCCTGAGTAAACACAATTCATCATTGTCTTGCTGATATGCTTTTTTACATCACCAAGCAGGTGTCTTCTTGGAATTGAGGTGGGCTTACAAGCTTTTAAGAAGGTCCACAAGTGTAAAACAGACCCAGGCTGAGTAGTGACACTCTTGTCTCCATTACCTTCCATTTGAATCATCTTCTGTTTTGCAGACATGCCTGAGGACTTCACACATGCACTTCATAGTGTTGATTTGGAATTTTCTGGATCTGACTCATGTCCAGACCACTCTGACTCTGAGGACGACACTTCTGATCTCAAGGAGCTTCAAAAACGGTGTCAAATCATGTGTGAACCACCTCCAGATGCTAGCACTCCCCAGCTATGCATTGTATATCACTTTCTTTTCATGTTCATTTAGTATTCTTACACTACAGTGACAGGCACTTGGCACTACTTAGTCAGCATACTCAAAACTTCACATTGAGATGAAGAAGCTACAAACTGACTACAACAGTCTACTCTCCACTCTCCCACAGAACTGCAAGAGAGCTGTGGAGAATAACCCAAACATGATATTGGACAATAACATTGCTGCCCAAGCAAAAAAGTATTGCTTCTTCTACCATTTCTGGGTCCTGAAGGATGCTTTCCCACTCATGATTCCACTGCCTGGATATGATCTGAATGACCCCACTTGTTGGAGTATGCCTGAATCAAAAATTATCAGCCTTAAGGTGGAACTCTATTCCATGCTACCTAGTGACCTCAAGGCCCATGCAACAACTTATAGCAACTTTGGCCATGTGGTAAGTGAATGTTTACATCCCACAATTTGAATGCTAAAGTTTATTGTTTCTAGTTTTCAAATATGGTTGGGGCTGAAAGACCCAACATCCCCAAGCCCATCAAGGATAATGCACAGCAACTCTTTGTGCACTTGGGCCTTAAGTGCCAATATATTTGCAGCTGAGAATTCAAGGATTCTACAAGGGTCAAATGAGGATGTGAAAGCATTGCTGAAGATGCACCCAGGGAGTGTTGGTACTCACTACACCCCTCTCTCCCTGATCCTCTTCCCTAAACCAGATGCTCTGGTGGCTAGGGACTTATTCAAATCCCAACTCCTAGTCAATGTGAGTTTTCTTTGCTACTCACAATTATACCTACATTAATTACTTCTGCAAGATCATCCATGTCATGGCATTTGGCAAGGGTGTCCTCACAGGCAAGCAAAGAGGTGGTCCACTGGGATGAGGTCAGAAACTGGGGATATCTGGCACTTTGGCTGGTCTGATTGCCATCACTGCAACCTTTGTAAGTCTCATGTCCCTACATTCTTCTGGCCTGAATATTCTAACAGCCTTGGTATAACAGGTGTGGTACTTACTATCAAGTGATTGTGAGCTTACTACCATTGGGGAAGAAAGCAGACTCAAGTATCAGGATGACTTTGAGTATTTCATCAGACTATTAAGTGACCCATCAAAACAAGAGTAGTCATTGGAAGTGATGGAATTCATCAATCAAGGTGTGTGGAACACTTCTAGTTGTGCCTCTACTAATCCTGCACTGGATTCATCCAACATCAATGCCTCTGTAGCTCCTACATGGGAGTCTGACATCTTAGCACAATTGAACAGCCCCCAGCAGCCACCACCCCTTTCCCACACACCCACTCCTGACTCAAGCTTCAACCCCAACCCTGCCTCTGCTTCACATCACATGCCAGAAGCAACCCAGGATTCTTCAGTTGTCATCTCTCAGACAAAGTCCATCTCCTCAGTGCTTTTGGTCGATGTCATGAATCTTTCACTTGGAGGTAGTCAAACATCTGTTCTACCATCTGTGTCTGCTCATGGAAGGGAGTTTTCTGTCCAGGGATGATAACCTAGGATGGTTGAGGTCCCAGGGGACATGGTTGGAGCTATGCAGACCCCACTGGAAGTGATCACCCAGGAGCTGCCTACTAAGGAATGTTGTATCACCTGGCATAAGGTAAAGGGTAAGTAGTTGTATTGCCATAGTCAGCCATGTGAGCATGCAAACTTCAAGCTTTCTGGCTATGAACCCCTACTTTATGTGCTGTATGCACTACCATGCCTTTGCAAATACAGTTATCCTTTTCTTTGATTCCTTTGAATTGATGTGATGACTTTCAACCAACAAATATCAGGTTTTGGAACATCAAGTTCAAATGGCCCTGTCTCCCTCTCATTGCAACTGCCCTCACCAAAGAAATACTGCCCCATGTTGTGGGTGTTCATACCATTGTCTGTGTCTTTATCAAATCCCAGTCATGCTGGTGACATCTCTGGTGAAGAAGTGGTTATTAAGCTTGAGTCCATCAAGGCAAAGCACCCACAGTTTGTTCATAAATATGTGTTTCATTTTTCTCTCATCTAATTTACATCTCCAGACTTCTCATTCTCTCTCTCAATTTCATCCATCATGACACAAAGCCACACAATCCCCTGATGGGGATCAGGAAACAAGCAACCAAGTCAGCACCACTGACCTCAGTTTTGCAAAGGAGTACTGTGACACCAAGACTCATCTGCATATCCAGTGTATGGGGAACAAGAACCTCACAGGAACTGCCTATTGTACCTCAATAATAACACTCACTTTATGGTTGAACAGGCCTGCCATGATGACTGGCACTTCCTGGCCTTGTGATTGGCCCAAGGCAAGCCTTGTCAAACCTACCATTCTGTTCAATGTGTGCTCTTGATTTGTCTGTTCCATGGTACAATGGGATTGTCATCATATCTGGATTGATTATTTTGTATAGCACAGATGCTCTTTTCTTTCAAGCTATCCTGATCTCCCTCTGGGGAGTGAAAAGGGTGGGCACCTATTCCATTCTCGCTTTTCCAGACTCTCCCCCTTCAGTGCTGTCCTCATACAACACATACTACTACATTTGCTTCTTCATGTCCCTTCCATGACTGTATATGCACTTTTTTTCCTGCTCCTGTTTTCCTTTGTGTGGTTGATCAACATAGTGCTTCCACAGACATGCTGTGTCACAGCTTCCCAAATGAATTTGGCATATTCCTCCATTACATTTGGGCACTCCACTGGCTTGATGATAACCCTGACTACTCCCACCCTCACAGGCTCCAATTCTACAACCCTTCATTCATGGGGGTTTCCAATACAACTATACCTTCAACTGGAATATGCTCAAGCACTTCGGTTCAATGACAAACCTGACTACTCCTACCTATGCAGGTTCTTTCAAGACCTCTTCCTTCATGAGGGTGTTCAGTGTGACCATGTCTTCAACTAGAGCATTTAGCACAGTACTTCCACAGGCTTGCTGTACCACAGCTCCCCAAGTGAATTCAGCATTCTCCTCAACTATGCTCAAGCGCTTCGATTCAATGGCAAGCCCAACTACTCCTACCTTAGCAAGCTCTTCTGTGAGGGTTTCCAGTACAACTATGTCTTCGACTGGAGCATTCAGCATGGTGGTCCTGAGGATGGTAGTGCCAGAGCAATTCAGAAGGTGAGTGCTAGCAAAAGAAAGGTAGTTTGAACAGCACCTATTGGCATCCAAAGACTTGCCCACAAAAATCATCTTCATATTATGTTTTTTGCCAGGTTATTCTTGGATGGCACATGTACCCACCTTGCCTTCGAATACAGAGGTGTTCACTTTTGCCCCACCAGCTCTTCAGTGAAGGATTTCCCACTCCCCATATCTGTTTTGTTCATAGAAGCCAGTTTCCATTATGGTCTGCTTCAATTCTGGTGGTGCAAACACATTGTATATGATGTTGTTGATATTTTTCCCTCCCCAGTCATGCAGGGTATGAATTCATATCTACATTACTCCCTTCTACATTTCCAAGATGGCAATCACAAACAGTATTCCAATTAATACCTGCAGCATTAAATTAAAACAGTAATACAGTTGTCATTATCTCTACATACTTCATGTAATGTTCTCTTGTTTGGCACATGTACAATATGAAGAAACAATCACTGAATAAATTTTGTGATGGACTTGAGCAATTCAATATCTCAAATCTCAATGTCCAGAGAGGGATTACCATTTTGGGGCAATTATATAAGCTTCCAGCTATAATACATGCTGGGTACCTGGGGAGTCACTATCCCCATCCCTCCCACTACTGTTTTTGTTACCCCATTTCCCTCTGTCCAATGGCATCAGTACATGGGCCTATCCAAGCAGCACATGCATCATCATTCTGCCTGTACACAGCCTCTCAGATCTGTGCTATGAATCCCCTTCTCCCCAGTTGCCAATCTAGGCTGAGTTATGCAGTCTGGTGTCACTCCCTCCAATTCCCAAGTATGTTGTATGTCCCCCTGCACTTGTTATCACTGCTCTCTGACTGTTGACTGTGCAAGGTACCTGTGGGGTCACTATCCTCATCCCCTCCCACCATTGCTTTCCATTACCCCATTTCCCTCTGTCCACTGGCATTGGTACATGGGCCTATCCAAGCAGCACACCCATCATCATTCCACCCTGTACACAGCCCTTCAAACCTGTGCTATGAATCCCCTTCTCTGGTTGCCAACTTAGCCTGAGTTACATAATCTGGTGTCACTTCCTCCAATCCCCAAGTACAGTGGCTCAAAAAACTGACCACATGTTTGGACATTTTTCACTAAAGTCAATACTGCCCCATACCCCCTAACTTCAGCCCTAACCTATAAGTGTATGAAACAAAGCCCTTACACTTGGCTCTCTATTGGTGCAGGGGTCAAGGGTTTTGGATAAGGTTTGATCAAATGGCAGCCATTTCAAAATGATGACTCATGCAGTCAGTTTTTTGACCTTAGGTTTCAGTCACATATATTAGACCCTGGCATACTGTAATATTAGTACATATATCTGGTAATGGTTCTATTACATCACCTTTATGTAACTGAGTGTCAGAAATTATAAATAAACCCCACCATCACCATGAAACCCATCTCTGCTTCTCAAAGAAAGAGCAACATATCTCTCTCCATTCTTGATCTTTCCTCCAGGAAAATTGCTTCTCAAACTGGCTTAGGGTAGTCTACAGTATGCCAGGTCCTTCAGAAACTACAGCCAGAGAGGACTAGGCTGATCATTATTGGCAAGCCCAAAAATGCCATCCATGCCATTCAATTCATCAATTCTATTATTGATACTCCTGTCTACCACAGACTGTGTGAAATACCCTCAAGGAATCCTCTGTGAAGGCTGTGGTCAAGAAAAAGAAGTCCTTGCTTTCTAATCTACACAAGAAGAGAAGGCTAACCTTTGCTCTCAAGTACCAGAATTGGACTGTGGAGGACAGGAAGAGAGTTATATGGTCAGATGAGACCTAAATACATAGGACTGGGTCAGATGGGCAAGAGTATGTGTGGAAAAAGAAGGGTGAAGGGCCAATTGCTAGAGAGGTCAAGGGTACAGTTAAGTTCCAAAGAGGTTCACTGATGGTATGCTGCAGAAGGTGGAATGAAGCAGGGGTTTTGAGTGAGGTGGAAGGTGGATGGATGCTGAACAGTATGTGGCCATTTTGGAGCAGGGGCTGTTGCAAATCTTGGAAGATTCTGGAATTCCAGAAGATGACATTATCTTTCAACAAGATAATGGCCCCAAGCACACCTCTAGGAGAGCCCAAAGTTGGTTGGAAGAACAGGAAATCAACCTTCTGGACTGGCCTGCACAATATCCAGACCTTAATCCCATTGAACATACTTGGAATCACCTCAAGAGATGCCCCTCAGGTTATGAGAGTGCTCCTACAGGCATTCACTGACTGTGGGAAAGAGTGGTGGAGGAGTGGGGGAAGATGGATGAGGAGCAGTGTCAAAAATGAATAGAAAGCATGCCTAGAAGGATTGAAGCAGTTATTAGGGTCAAAGGACTTCATACAAAGTACTAGATATGTAAATTGATATAAAGTCAAAAAACTGACTGCATGAGTCATCATTTTGAAATGGCAGCCATTTGATCAAACCTTATCCAAAACCCTTGACCCCTGCACCAATAGAGAGCCAAGGGTAAGAGCTTTGTTTCATACACTTATAGGTTAGGGCCTAGGTTAGGTGGTATGGGGCATTATTGACTTTAGTGGAAAATGTCCAAACATGTGGTCAGTTTTTTGAGCCACTGTATGTCATATGTCCCCATGCACTTGTTATTATCCCTGCTTTCTGACTGTTGACCATGCAGACTACCTGTGGAGTTGAGACTATCCCCATCCTCCCACTATCACTTTCTGCTACCCCATTTACCCTCTGTCCAGTGGCATCAGTACATAGGCCTGTCTGATCAGCACAGCCATCATTCTGCGCTGTATGCAACTGACCTACTCCACATAATACTAACCTCAATATTCTATGAGTGGGCTGGTAAAGATTAGCAGTATGGACAAGACCTTGGTGATGGATTACAGTAATATTCACAATATTGCAATAGGGATTAGGGTTACAATGAAAATAATAGTACTGCAATGAAGATTATGTCATCTTCCAATGAAAATGATGGTATACAGCCTTACACATTACAATGGTGAAAATAGTTAGCAATGGTAGTACAATAACATTGCAACTACAGCTGCCTAGTGAGTCATTGTCAGGCACTTCAGTCAGCAGGCAATGGCTAACAATAGCATTGCAATCACGTGTTCCCAGTGCAGAGTGGCCAGCCATTGTCAGGCATTCCAATCAGCAACCCCCAGATTACACTGCCATGCCAATGAACACTTTACCCATTGGTGGGGCACTAACATACATCATCCATTGTAATTACATACAGTCACATGTAATGGCCATGATTTTTTTCTGACATGGGGGAAATCAGGAACCATACAGTGCTCCTTGTTGCAATTGAAGCAGGTGATCCTGTTCTTGCTGACAAGATCAGTGGTCTGCACCATCCTTCCTCAGGAATCTTTGCTGTTCACCAGAAGATTTGTCTTTCTTTGATAAATGGTACATATGTATTAAAGTCTTCATTTGCAAAGAGTGTTGATCACTGTCAATCACAGGATTACCCTTGGGTGACTAGGCTTCAAGGCTGAGCAACAGGGGCCAAGTCTGGTGGACTGGAGTTGATGCTGGGGGACAGGGGCCAAGTCTGGAGGTCCAGAGCATGGGAAACTGACTGGTTCAAGAACACACACAGGGGGAAGCTGGTCTGGGGTTGGGTCTTACCTCCCTTGGTCTTAGCTTATGTGCTGTACCCTTATGCAAGCTGGGGAGAGGTCTAGGGCAGGAACAGAGGACAGCTTAAGGCTCAGCCTTAGCTATTGAGAGGACTCATAGGACAATACCCAGTTGAGGATAATACTTAGTTGATATTCTGACTGAGGTGCTATGAAGTAATACAGGGGTTGAATGCATAAGGTGAGTTCAGAGTAAGACATGCAAAGCCAAACTGGTTGATAAGCTGTTAGGAAGATGAGTACCAAGATAAAGACAGCCACAGAGGCTGTGCTGAGACTAATAGTCAAAGTCTGGGTGACTGGCATGACCAGAGTCAGACACAGGTTTTCTCACAGTAAGTGAAGATCAGACAAGGGGACTAGACTAAATATAGCACAAACAAAGGAAAACAGACCAGACTTATGTCCAGGTGGCCTGGACATGCACCTAGGAGGACCAGGATGGAACAGCACAAGGCCAAGAGGCCAGAGTGGACCAGAACTAGGGGTATAGTGTCAGACTTGTGTTATCTGGGCCAGAGTTGAGTTACTTAGAGCTGGTGTTTTGTTGTGTAGGGCAGGGTAGGACCAGAAGAAGACTCATAAATGGTAGAGGGCAGGCAGAGCTGGTGCAGAGTGAGTGAATGACCAGAAGAGTAGTGTGCAGAGTCACTAGGGACTTAGGATGAATGCATGGTTGTGACAGAGTGCTCAGCTGATACTCTGCAAGCTTCAAAGGTGGTCTTAATTAGATATCAAGTGTGGCAGTCCTTGCAAGAATTCCCTCCTGAACAAGTAGTCATCTGTCAGTTGCAGCATTCAGTGCACATCATGTTATATGTACAGTGTCTCAATTAAGTAATGCACAGCCACCACATTTGCAGCATTTCATTGATAGCAACAGTAATACATCACTTTATGTTCATACAACTATCAGAACATGTGGACAAAGGTCTATTTGACAAGACTGAGGAGTGATGATTATCCTTAATTGTATTGTAGTGTGCTGTGGTGTGAACACTAAAAAAAGTACTGTGCAATTCTTTTTTGGATGGGGGTGGTATTATGAAAACCTGCCTCAAATTTTCATTTCTGAGTTCACTGCCCACCCCACCACTCCAGAAGCTACTGGTACCCTCTTTACCATCTCTTGGCCATGGCAAAGTACACCAGTCCAACACAGAAGGCTCAGGTTTGTCAAGACAAGGCAGCTGGTCTCTCAGATGAGCACATTTCCAAAAAGTTCCAAATTCATCATACTACTGTCAAATGCATCTTTAATTCCTATGCTAAATCTGAGGATTACTATGCTATCAAGCCTAAATCAGGTTACCCATGTCTATTCACTTCAAATGACACTTGTAATGCAGCCTGACTTCTTGCTCAGGGGAAGGCACATGATGTTGCTGACCATCAGAGGAAGTTTTTCCCAGAATTTAATGCTGAAACAATCCAACAAAGGCTATGTGCATATGCCACTCTTATTTGTGACCATTCATAAATTATCAACAGGTTGCTTGCTCAAAACATCTCAGAATCATAACTCCATGAATGGTGGAAATGACCACCTACAACAGTACACATATGGATGTTTTGTGATTCAGGGTTAATAACACTGGAAATGTTTGTGAGAAATGTAACATTGTGGTGGCAGTTTGGATGTATATGGGACTTTGGACATTGTTGTACAAATTGCTGGATTCCAGCAATCTATATGGGGTTATACCAAGGCAGCATGAATTCCCAACCTCTGATGGCAAGAAATCAGGTCTCAAATTTGAAGGTTGTACAGAACTATATGAGAGGACATGAATGTACACAATAGCAAGCAGATTCCAAATTTCACAGGATTCTCCACAGCAATAGGGGATTTAAAAAAGACTCTGGTAGGCATTGAGATGCTGCAAATCAAATCTTTCATCCTGGTTTGCAGGTGGAAACCAAGGGACTTACCAAGAACAGTGAAGTGCATAAGAGTTGAAATTATCTTTTTTTTCATTTCAGGAATTTCTTTGCTGAGGATAGTTCAGATAGGACTTCCATCAATCTGGTAAAGGAATGTGTCTTACACATCTGGTTTGCCTGTGCTATACCCACAAGCATGGGGCATAAATCATCCACACTTTCACCATGCTGCTGGAAGGCTTCTGTAATGCATGCATTCACAATATTTTGGACCCCTGATGTCTGATATTTTCTGACAATCACTGTTAGATCCTGCTGCAAATCCTTCCTTGCAGTACCCTCATCCTTGACCTGCAACTGGAAAAATAAGTATTCAAAGACAATTACACAACCTGTAATCATGAGCTTCAGATTAAAGCAGTATCAAGAGATAATTTACCAGTGCCATGTTCTGCAAGTGCCTTCAGGGAAGGCTTCCTTGATGTGGACAATGTAGGGATGGAGACAGAATCACTTCCATGTGTGATGGGTTGCTATGACCAACCAATTCAACACATCATAGGCAGCTAGCAACAAAAAAAGAATTGAAACATACCACCTGAGATATCAAGGGTAAAATGGGAACCAATGTTAAAGTAGGTCAAACTTTGTCAGGATTTCAGAGGATTATGACAACTAACATCCTGGGAAAGATACAGGAGGAGAATTAAGAAAAAGGCATACTCTATGAAATGATTGCACCTACATCCTAACACAAAATCTCAGCAATATTGCAGAGATCCATGCAGTGATCAAGCTCACCATCTATTTGACAAGAAGACCTTGTGAGCCACATGCTAAATGAGATATTTCCACAACACTCACTCTCTATGACCCAGAGGTCACAAGTGAAATAATAAGGATTGTAAGCATATATTTTCCTCCAGCAGATTCTGCCACAACATCACTCACATCCTATGAATGCAAATGCAATGGGGTAGGAGAGAAAATCAAATTCAGAAACCATCCATGGTCACCATTTAAGCAAAGCAAAGCAGTGGTGAACATAGTCAGCATGCATCCACCACCATCTGCCATGACTCTACTGACATACTATGAATCCCAGTCCAACAGGGTGGGAGTAAACATGTCAGCATGAATCCACCACCATCTGCCATGACTCCACTCACATACTATGAAACCCAGTCCAACACAACAACAACAAGAATCACCCTCAGCATTAGTTATACTTACTCTTGCAGAATTTCACACACCTCCTGTAACCTAATTAGCCTCTTATTCACACAAAACACTGGTTCCTTACAAATGGGAACCATGCTGCAAGTTCATGTGCTAAGTTGTCCACTTTAATCTGACCAGGCACCTGGTTCATGCTCCCCTTCAATGTCCTTTCTGTAGTCAGTACCCAGTAGAACTTAATTTTTACCACTCACTTCATTATGGCAAATTCCATGCAGAGTTCCAAGTTTGACTGCTGTGATGATATAAGCAGTCCTTGCAGCCCTTCCTCTGTCAAAGCATTTGCTGTGCATTTCAATAACTCTTCACAATCTGCACCCCCCCCTTGCATGCCTGGAGGCACATACTAATCAGCAGTTTTTTGGTTCATAGCTTACTTACCAGTGAATATCACATAATTTTGAGGTGGAAAATTCAGTTCATTCAGTTGCCCTTGGATCCTTTCCAGACAGTCCTCTTGCAACTGTTTTTCTACCTCTGGTGCCTCTTTAAATGCATCAGCCATAGTTAACCCCTTTTTCATAAGTTTCTGGACTGCATGACGTGTCAAGGCATCAGCCATTGTGAGGAGCACAATCACAGGAACTGTGCAAATCCTAAATCCTTGCACTAAATATGATATGATATTTGTGTATACATACCATGTGCTGAACCACACTCATTAAAGAACTTCATTTCAGCACGCATAACCATCCTATGGGTTTCAATCAAAGGAATGCAATACCTAAATCAACCACAAAAAGCAGGTCAGTGGACTCCCAGTTGCACTAGTCAGACATGGACCTACCAAATTGCATGTATTCTCTTCTCCAGTTTCGTGGACCTTGCTCGATCTGTAACAAATTCCTTCATCCTATCAAACTCTACCTCACTCCCCGCCTCGAATCCACATTCATGGAACACATAGCATGGGTTGCTTTTAAACACTAGCTCATCCTCAATGTTATGGTAGCCACACTGCATAAGTTTGACATGAGCACCATGTAATTTCACACAGTAGGCTTACCTCCAGTGAACCCTGCACCGCCCCAGCATCAACCTGGCAGAATGACATGTTGACAAATACGAAGCACATGACATATCCACATACCTTCTCTTCGTTGCCATCGAAGATCTCAGGCTGATCAGTAGTGTTACAGACCCGCTGTAAAACAGTTGTTTTACCCGCATTTGCTCTGCCCATGACAAGAATGCGAAAACGAGGGATACAATCAATCTGCTTTTCGGCCCCGGCGGGATCTAAGTGATATTATGAAGCCCACGTAGGGACGATTGCGCGTGGGCAACATGAAGGAATGGCTCCAGTGGGAATGGAAACTAGTTACACACCTGCATTGCCAGAGTGGCGCAGCGAACGCCACCAGGAACGAAGAGAGCTTGGCGCCATGGCGATGTGAAGATGAGAAAATAGCTGTTAGGATGTCTTGAGCAGTACGTGTGTTATGACTGTGGGGGTCGATGGCGGTGAGTTGCGAAGGGCAAACGACTGCGGATTAAATCAACATGCATATCCGTGGCGCACAGCCTGACGCACGTGTGAACTACCACCGAGTTCCTGTTGGACCGTCCCTTTTCGTCTTGTCGTCTGACCACGTCCCGGTGATGTACCAGCAAGGCAAAGACTCAACCATCGGTCCTTCCTTGCTATCTTCGATTGCTCATTGCGGACTCGTCCCATGCTCTGCAGTACCAAGCCAGCTCGATAGGTACAGTAGTTATGCTCCTGGTGCAACGTACGACCGAGCTTCTCAGCGCTTTGCGTTTCCGAACTCGCCCCGTTCTTCACCGCAGCACAATGGGGCATCCCCAGCTCCTCCCTCGATGATATGATATGGTTTCCAAACACTTTCTTCCACGATACTCTGCCGTGCAGCTGGGGAACCCACAAGCAACATGTCTCTTTGCTAACCCGCCCTAGTATTGGCATGAGGGGTTAAGCGACCTAACAAAGCCGCCCACACGGTCACAGGATCAAGATCTGAGCCCCGTATCGACGTGCTATGACTACATCTGCCGGTGGTGTCGACAACGACCATCGTTGAGCATGCCAACTCTTTTAACACCTCTCCACAGTACATGCCCCGAGCTCCGTCTCCAAAATGCATCACCAGTAAGTGCTGCGTTCTGGCTACCGCCTTATCCCCCCCTAACCTCTACCCAGTCGAGATCCTATCCTGCACGATGTGGGTGACCCCAACAGATAGCCATGGAAGTAGCAGACACTCTGGTATAGAATTTGCATGAGAATCTAATGGGAGACTTATCAATCTCCATGCCATAGTCATTCATATGCCACTCCGTAGATTTTCCAATTAAACTGTATAACTATGTCATGTCTCAGAAGAATGAGAGAGCCCACTATGGAAAGGATGCCGTGAAAAATTGCAAACAAGGTGGTGGTGTCATGGTCACACAGTGAGTTTTCCACTATATAGTACCTGTTATATGTAATACAATATGTCAATGGCATACTGAAAAAATCTGTACTTGAAGTTTAGATCCTTTTCCACACATTTGCTCAAATTTGAAGTTGGAATGAATGTCTAACTGTTGTATAAACAATAAGTATGGTTGAATACCAAATGTTGTCCAAGATAGGAGGTTATGTCAACACATACAGTGAGGGGTGAAACTTTAACTTTTGTCCTAATTTGCACAACTGATGATACATGAACTACTGCCAAAATTCCAGTAACCAATTTTACTTCAAGTCTAGAATTAGCATCCTTACATGGTGCCTACACTTCAGACCCTTTGGTCATGTGTAGTCCTGAAAGTGGGACTAACCAATGTAGGCCACTGGGCCCTGAGGGCAGGTAGGCTGACATGTGAAAGAAGGTTTGGCTGAGGTCTCCAGTGGGTGGACCCACCCCATGAAAGTGGCATCAGCCAACATCACTGGTGGATGGTACCATCCCCTGAGAATGGGCTTGGCCAACCTCACTCTTGGCAGGTCCTACCCCCTGAAAGTGGGATCAGCCTGTCTCACTCATGGATGGTCCTACCCCCTGAAAGGATCAGTGGATGTCACCATGGGATGTACCCACCCCCTGGGAGTGGAATTCAGCTGACCACACTGCCCTGTGGACTCACCCCTTTGGAGGTGTCATAGATGGACATGGCTGGGTAATGGGCCTACTGGTCTTGAGACTGAACCTCCATTATGCTCACCATGGCATGACATCCATCTCAGGTGATGCTACTATAGCCAGTACTGGTACTGCATTACCACCCCAGGAAGTGCAAATGGAGTGATGTCATCATAATAAAAGTTGTAGCCCCTGATTGTACAATCATGATCATATGTTTATCTTATCAGAAAGTGGAATTTTGCGTGAGAAAAACACAAAATACTTGGAAAATCACAATTGTTCACACTAAATGTCACTTCTCCACAGTTAGATGGAGATTCCCTAAACCTGCTTGGAGATTCTCCCAACCCACTTGGTGATTTTCCACACTTGCATGGAGATTCCCCACACCTGCTTAGAGAATCTCCCAACCCACTTGGACATTCTCCACACTGTGTTGGAGATTCCCCATAACTGCTAGGAGATTCTCCCAACCCATTTGGTGAAGGCCTCATTTAGGTCCTTTTTGGTATGGGGAAAGTCCCATGCAGACCCTATTTCAGCTGGAGAAAGCACCATTTGGGTCTTTTTTTGGCATGGAGAAAGGCCCATTAACACCCAATTTCAGCTGGGGAAACTCTCATTCTGGTCTATTTTTGCATGGAGAAAGTCCCATGAGGTCCTATTTCAGCTGGAGAAACCCTAATTTGGGTCCTTTTTGGCATGGAGAAAGTCCAATGGAGGTTCTATTTCAGCTGGAGAAACCCTCATTTGGGTCCTTATTGGCATGGAGAAAGTCCAATGGAGACCCTATTTCAGCTGGAGAAAGGCCCATCTGGACCCCAGTCACTCTGATATATTTGGAGAAACATATATTAATTGTGGAGAAATCCATAGGGGGCCTGGAGAATTCCCAGGCATGGTACTGGAGAAAAAACTTTCCCTGCCAGTGGTTGGGGATACCTGACCCATCAAGGCCTCATAAGTATATACATCTGTAAAAATATGTAGACTTAATAGGTCTCCAAAGGGGGTTGACTGAAGTGGTGCTCTGACTGTTCAGCTGTGTATATTGTCTAGGTGATAGCATTAGTAGCATGGGGCATAAACCAGTGATGGGGGAACAAGACTATGTGGAGTACAGTTCACAGAATACACCATTTCCAACATGGTTGGTCCTTCAATCTGGGAATGTTTGGAGTGCAACAAGGGTGCATGCCTCCTATGGTCATCCAAATGGTCTGATAGCATTTTAGCCTTGTGTTATGTGGAGGGTGTTGTGGGACATCTTGCCAGACCCCCTGGGGGGTGGGATGTCCCAACTTAGCCTTAGAGGCTGCTGTGGGACACCCCACTGCTGGCCAGGAGGTGGGAAGGGATGCCCCAATGTAGCCTTAGATGCTGTTGTGGGACATCCCACTGGTTGCCAGAGGGGGGGAGGGATGTCCAAATGTAGCCTTAGAGGCTATTATGGGACATCCCCCTGGTTGCCAGAGGGGGGGAAGGGATGTCCCAATGTAGCCTTGGAGGCTGTTGTAGGACATCCCACTGCTTGCCAGAGGGGGGGGAGGGATGTCCCAATGTAGCCTTAGAGGCTGTCATGGGACACCCCACTACTTGCCAGAGGGGGGGAGGGATGTCCCAATGTAGCTTTAGAGGCTGTCATGGGACATCCCACTGCTTGCCAGAGGGGGGGGAGGGATGTCCCAATGTAGCCTTAGAGGCTATTGTGGGACACCCCACTACTTGCCAGATGGGGGGGAGGGATGTCCCAATGTAGCTTTAGAGGCTGTTGTGGGACATCCCACTGCTTGCCAGAGGGGGGGAGGGATGTCCCAAAGTAGCCTTATGAGGAAAATGTGACCAGTCCTGAGATTGAACCAGTGACCTCCCAGGTGTTTACCAGGTGCTGCAACCACTGAGCCATATGGTCTGGGTACTAGTGTCAGTAGCTTGGGGGCTTAGACTAGCTTAAAAAATCCTACTATGCTGTTGCTGATCTTAAATCAGTGGCCTCTGGCTTTGCTTATGATGACCAGCACAGTGTGAGGATCTTGCTGGACAATGCTGATCTTTGGGATCAGTATGTAAATGTAATGTAGTTTTTTTTCTTGTCAGATCATCCACTAACCTCTAGTCAGGCACACAAAGACGCAAAGCTGTTTTGCAATTCTGGGTTCCCCCACTTTGCGAGTGTAGAGCTCCTTCTCCCCCTGCATGGCCAAGGTCAGTTTATCTACCAGCCACACACCACTACTGTGCCTTCTACAACTATGACCTTTGCCTTCAATATTCCTGCCTCTACCACAGCCCCCACTGCTTTGACTATTCCTATCCCCCCTCCCTCCCTCTCTCTCCTCAACATGATGCATGCTCTCAACACTCACCATCACAAGGACATGCAGTGTGTGGATCCAAACTTCATCCCCCCTTCTGCATCATCAAGTTTTTTTGTTGCATGCATCAGCTGGGTCATCATTGTCATCAGCTGTCACCAGCATCAGTCACAGAAAAAGGAAAGTTGAGTCCATTGCAATGTCCAAATGTGGATCAAAGCACTCTTGGCCCCCATTGTCCAAAGTGCATGCCAAAGAAGATGGCAATTCATTCATCACTGCCATCACCTCCAGGCTTAATAACTTCATGCATGTGATTGCTGCCCCATTGCCCCTGCCACCCCCACCACCCATTACTAATCCCCTCATTGACACTGCCATGGACTACATCAACAACATGCTGCAGCTCTCAACAAACAATCAGATCAACATCAGTAACTACTTCCTCAGTGTGACCCCAGATAAAGTGAATATTTTCCTCAAGCAGCAGGAGCCAGCAAAGCAGATTTGGGTGCAGTGTCAGCTGGTGAAGTACTGGGATGGGCAGAGATAGGTGTTTGTTTTCTTTTTTTTTACAATATACAAATGTACTCCCCCCCCTGCATATCTTTTCAAGTCTCCCCCCCCTCACCCCTTTATACAAATATGTATATAATAAAATGTACATGACTATGACTAGCTTCCTTTTGACAATGGAAGTTATTTCTCTACATGAGTGTGAAACAATTGTAAGAACATATATTTGTACACCATGAAATCATGAATGTTCAGGCTCAGAGAAGGCCCCTTATAGTAAGCTGGCACTGATAGTCAATCCACATCTCCTCTGCAATGTTGTCACACCTATTATCAGCCCTTCTCCTCTCTGCAGCATCTGCTGGTCCATCACCAAGGCTTCCAATACCATCATCCTCTCCTATGTCCATGGCCAGGTCAGGGTCAAAGATCTCTTCTGGATCATAGTGCTGTATGAAATTATGGAGGGCACAGAGAGCAGCAGGTACTTGAGTTTGGGTGTGGATGCTATATTCAGGGGGAATTTGAAGAATCCTCCACCTGCATTTTATAACACCAAATATCTGTTCAATGGCATTTCTAAGTCCAGCATGGTGAAGGTTGAATAACTCCTCTCAGTTTTGAGGTCTATAAAATAGAAGTTACAGGTACACTGAGCAGGATGGAACAGCAACTTACCTTAATCCAGCCTGGTGCCATGCTTTCAGATGGTAACAAACACCTTGATAGGGAACCAGAAGTGCATCACAGGTCCCAAACCCTGCATCTGCAAGAAGGTACTTCCCAGGTGGCATGTGCAAGTCATTCCTGTGTACATCATGCCACATGGTTGCATCTGCAGTTGACCCATCAAAGCCAGTGAGGGCATATGTGAAGAAGTCAAAATCACAGATGAAGAGACTGTTTTGAGATAGGTAGCCCTTCTGGTTCCTCATGTAAGGCTGGTCCTTAGCAGCAGTGAATGCTCAAATATGAGTGCCATCAACTGCACCAATACAATCCTGGAAAAATCAGAAGTGTGGGTCACTAGTAATCATAGTTGATATGGAAATGTTGTTGGTGGGGAATTGCACTTGGGATGCATAGAATTGTCCCCCAGAAAAGAAAGCCAACATTGCTTTCAAATATCTAAAAAATTGAGAAAAATATCAGACAGTCCAATGAACTCCGTACCTAGTGATGGTCTCTCTGTGAGTGTTGGAACCTCTCAGCAACATGCTGGGATGACAACCCAGTAACACAGGTGCAGAGAATATCCCAAGTTGTTCCTCTACAGAAATTCCATTGCAAGAAGGCACAAAACCATGATGGGTGAGCACCTGCATCAGGTGATCAAAAACCCCATGGCTGACACCAAGGCAAGTCTGTATCCTGTCTGGATGACCATTCAGGAGCTCTAGCATCCACCCCTCACCAGTCAGGATTGAGGTATGGTGGGGGATTGGTTCTGAGTCAGAATGAAAAAGGAGGTCATAGAGGCATAGCACCTGGATCATCACTGCTACTACAAGTGCAGCAAGACAGTGATAACAATGGTGCTGGAGCTGCTGTGCTTCAAGATCCATAGCAGAGTTGTTTGATCAGTTATCACAATGTTATCTATTGAGCTACAAGTTGTGTTGTTGTCTTATATAATCATCACATGTCTGCATTACTGAAGCAGAAGCCTGAAACTTGGACTTTGCATTCGTGCAGGCCTGCACAGCTTATATAATCATCATGTGACTACATTGCCAAAGTCAAAGTCAAAAACTTCAACTTCAACTTCAGAGGGTGAATGGTGTCTTATTGTACAATGCAATGTCACACACCAAAGGTGTTGTGGACATGGTTACAGCTGACTCTGCCTAACTCATTGACAAGTTGTGCACAATGCCCATCCCATGCAGATGAAGACCAAAGCCCTCATGCATAGAAAGACTGCTGGACATTAGCAGTCATCCTTCACACAAGAATGAGTCATCAGTGCTAAAGAGAAAAGAGGGAGTGAGTTAAGTGCACATTAATGGTTTTTAGAGCCTGTGTATGGCATTCCAGTTTTCATTGTATCTCCACCATTTCCAAAGATATTGGCTCTGTTCTCACACTTGCTTACAGTGCTCAGCCACACCATCCTGCCTTCCAAATTTGGAGAGGATCCTTGCACCCTACACATTTCTACAGCACTCCATCCATCAGATGCTCATTTCACTAGTACATCAGAAATGGCCACCTCTTCATCAATCCTCTCATTTGCCTCATTTGCCAGAGACAGTGGCTACATATATCTGCCAGGTGTTCCCACCAGCATCTGTCCGGAAACCCCCTGGTTCATCCTGTCATTGTTAGCCCTGTCTCATCCCATGCAGCTTGGTCAGCATGTTCTCCTTGTCAGTTTGACTTCCAGAAGGACATTCTTTGGTCACCTCAGGTCTGTCACATGGTTAACAAAGACAGATTTCTGGGGCATCTGGTAGCTCTTGGATGATGGGTAGATGTTTATCAATCATGCACAATGCATTAATACAATGAGTTTGACATGTTATTTGACATGTATCTTCCAGGATAAGTAACTACCATGTATTGCTAGTCAAACAGTGCTGCAGGGCCTGGCACATTGGAGTCAAATTTTATAGCAGCAGTGGCCTGTCAGAGTGTGATTCCAGAGCACTTCTAAAGCCTCCTTGAGTGCCACTAATCTCATCCATCATTCTCCCCACATTGTGACAGCTGCAGCATAATCTACTGTTCTCCAGCCTCCCTGATCACATTCATGACAAGTATGCCATGCATCTTGCCTTTTTACTGCAAGATCCAGCAGAAGATATCCCCCCTTCTCCTCCTCCTCCATCAGAGCCCCATTCATGAAGCTTTTGTTAACTTCACTGAGAGGATGAAAGGGTGGGAGATGAATGCCCTAGCCCTTTGATGCCTGACTCATGCCCTTCAATTCTGGCATTAATACTTCCCTGTCTGGAAACACCATCCATCTGTCATGCCATCTTTGGATCTAGAGATGTCTCTGCCAAGATCTGACTTGCATTGCCACCCCCTAATGTGATATCAGTGTGCTTACTCAGTTTCTGACATTATTTGACTCATTCTGTGATATTTTGACTGTCCTTGACTCATTCATTGCCAATACTTACCAATCCTCTTTGCTTGCTTACTTTTCACTTCTTGCTTACTCATCATGATTACTCAGTCCTTACTCATTACTTACCAAGCATTTGTGCCTTGTTTGTCAAAAGCTGTGCTCCCCCCACAGTATATAAACCCCCTGTACTTAGCTACAACCCCAAGTGAATCAGAACTCACTCAGCAGTCAGTTCAGTTCCCTCAGGCATAACTCATCATTGACAGTTTGAGGCTCCATCAAGGATCTATCTACCTTCATTCATTATCTGAAGAATCTGTGCTTAGTCAGCACACCTGCTTAGTCATTCATCCACTCCTGCATAACTCATCATCAACTTGTGCCAGGTGCACATTTTATCAAAGTCCATTACTCCAGTCAGCATCCATTCATCTGTTCCTGCATAACTCATCAACAACCTGTGCAAGGGGCACCTGTGATTGAAGTTCCCCCCCCACATTAGATTTTTCTGCACTCTAGGTTCTGCAGAGGCAACCCACCACTCACTCATATTTTGTCTTTGGTGTTGGATTTGGTTGGTTTTCACTGCCTCTCCACACTTTGACTCACAGTGGTTTGTGAGGAGATGCATTATTTCTCATGCTTTCCAGCAAAGGCCCCATATGCATGCACTTGATTGATGTAGAGGGTTGATGATCTAAACTGCTGTGCTTGCATTTAATGGTGACAGACAGCTGTGGAGGTATGAATAGACAAGACAGTGATATGAAAATATTTGCATTACAGATGGATCACATGCAGGAAGTAATTGCACCACATCCTTAAAAGAACAATACAATTTCAGAGATATCTGTCTCATGACATTGTGTGTGATTAAAAGGTCAAATTTGATGTTGACTTCAATAAAATCTCCATGATTAAGATAATCTTCACCTAGGGAGGAGACACTTCCATGGTCATCCATGTCAAACAAGGTGCATTCTTTGTTGGGAGGTTGAGGATTATTCACATGTGACAACTGACTGTCAACAGACATACTTGATTGAGTTGACATGGAAGCAAATACCATGGTAGTCAGGATTTGGCACTGCAGAAATAGATGATTGCAATTGTAACAACAATGAAGAGGCATCTGTAAGCATTTACTGGAAAAGGTGCCTGCAAGATTGAGAGAATCAAGCTGATTTTTCCAGCTGGCATCATAAATATCTCCACAGGACAACACCAATCTCTCAGTGGCCTGTCTGTCACTGTAATCAATGCTGGAAAATAGTGTTAGCAAGGGTGATGATGTCATCATTATCAACATTTACCATTGCCAATTTCCACAGGTGCTGATTTGGAATGACTGTAGGAAGCCAAAAAGACATATGGAAATGGGGAAGTAAACCCCAGCAGTGTGTAGAGGGGGAGATTTATAGACCAGCATGTTGTGATTCTGATTAGGGTTTTCAGGGTTGATGATGACTTTTTCCCACAGCACCATTTCTTCCAGAGAAGAAGGAAAGCATTCCCAACCAGCCAGTTTCTGTCCACTGACTCAAAGCAATATCACCACTCTTTTTAAGCTTCAAAACCCTTTGAGTTTGTTTGATAAACTGCTGTGTTAACATATCACAGAAAGGGAATGCAAAGGGGCATAAACAATAATATACAGTATCACTACTGACTGTTAGGCTGCCTTTGCCTGCATGCACCATGCAATGGGTAACATGCAGTGGAGAAAAACTGGAGGTATGTTTGCTTTCTTGGCAATCAACACACCTGGATTGCTAAATGATATCCAGGAATTCATAAAAATGGACAGTTCAAAATTCATGTGCAGCATAATGATCCCCCCCTCCTATGAGGTAACTCATCACCTGCTGATGAGAAATCTCCTGCCTCCCTGTCATTGCATTCACAGTTTTTGTCAAAAGATTTTTATTATGAAATTCATCACTGAAGATGCTCTCATTGCAAAAACACTCACAATGACTTTCAATAGCACTTTGCAAGGCCTGTAAACCAACATGAACTTTTAACTCATCTTTTGCAATGTAATCATTAATGAAATAAGTAAGCACTTTGGCAGTGGATCCAGAACCTATGTACTTGATGTCCATGTTGCACTGCAATAAATATATAATGACATCATTGAAATTATTAATCCAAGGATGAAGTTGTCTCAATAAGATAGATTTGGTGTCAGGATTGATCCCAGTGAATGACCATACTGTTCCATTTATATGCATGCAACAGTTGTCATTGCCACCAACTTCTCCAGGTTTTAGATGTTTGTAACATGTTGCAGTGTGTTGAGGCCAATTACACTTGATAGCCAACCACTTAACAAACTTCCAAAATTCAGTAGCAAAGGTTTCATCATCAAGTGCAATGACCTGTGGCACATTCTCCAAATGAGGGTCAATGTCATGCTCATCAAAGGGAGGCTCCAAAGTACTTCACACATCCTCTATGTTCATCATTCCTGGAAATTTGCACTTGATGGTATCTTCCAACCAAGAGATAATGGAAGATTTAAAGGTACCATCATCATGTATTCTAGACCTCAACTGATTGGGATCAGGATTTCCTTCCACCCACACCAACAGGTGACAATGTAAAGTTCCACAACCCTGAGCTTCCACCATTGCATAGTATACAGAACACCTTCCCAACAAGCCCTTACCCTGCTTATATCAAAGGACAACATCTATAAATTCTTTGATTTGTTCATTGAAAGCCATTGATGCTGCTGTAAGTAACTGATTTCTGATGGCCAAGAACTCTGACTCCAGAAGAGCCAGCTTCTGTTCAAGTTGGGTTGACCCTGAAGGGGCTTTGGTCTGGATGCAGGATAAGTACTTTAGATGAACAAAAGGGAACTTGCCTGGGAAGATTTTCTAGACTGGAAAGAAAACTTAACAAAAGAGCTGAAGCAGTGATTCTTGCTCTCCAAAGGACCACAGAGTAGACAGTGACATGAAGTACAGTAATCCTTGTCCACACTGTACTGTAGTGTCTATGTGACATGGCACATGCTGTGACTACTTGTGTGCTTAGTCAGCTCTCGACCTTTCAACACCAAGTTCCCTCAGCCACAACCCCTAAGTCTGAACCCTCTTTGACCCTCACCTACACTCTCGATCCCCAAACCTTCCCTTTGACACACTAGAGGAGTGATTTCTTGTAGGGAAAAGGTCTGTGTTCTGTACATCTGAGGGGGGGTTTAAACACCAACCATTCTTGGTTGTCCCCTCTCCCTGTGTAGATGTCCTCAGCCTCATGCCCATCCTCACTAACCCCTTCTTTGTGCCCACACCTTCTGACTCTCCTTGCCTTCCCCTTGCTTGCTTTCCCTTCTGTTACCTTCTACCCTGCACTCAATCCCCTCTTCCTCCAACAACATATCCCCCCAACCTTGAGTCTGCACTGTGGTCTTTGAACCCTTCCTTTACTTTCACCAATGCCCCCAAGACTCCTCATAGCCAATTCTCCAGTACTCTCTCCCTCACCTCACACCCTCAACTTTCCACATCTCTGAAGCCAACCATATACCTGGTGTCACACACCAAAGGGGCCATAGTCCAGTCAAGAGGCAGAGGACAGAGAATATGGGGGACCAGGTTAAGGTGAGACTAAGTTGATTTCAGACTGAGGCTAAACAGTTTATCCTACAGCTTAAATACTAAAGGTAAAGTAAGTGTAATGTAGCACCTAGAGACTGGTCTGCACCTAGTACAGCAATGATTGGTAAATGGATTGGTAAGTAATGTTACAAAGAATGTTATCAAGCAACACTATGAACAAAGGATTTACCAGGAACTGGGGCAGGACCTGTGGCTGGGCTGGGTATTACACTGGTCCAGTACCAACTGAGTGCACAACTCAATTGGGCACTGCCTTGCAGTGCCTCACAAGCTAACATGTTTCTAGGTTGAAGGGGTAAGGCTGGGACCAGGGCAAGGGTTGGACAAGACCAGTTGAGGCCAGGGTAGAGCTGGTCTAGGGTGGTCTAGACATGGTCATGACAGTATCCTCCTCTTGGAGCCAAGCCCACAAGGCTCCAATGAGGACAATGCTGAGAATGAAATGTTGGTGTCTGACCTGGAAAACCAGTGGTCATTAAGACCAGTCCACCTCAGGTTTGGTTCCTCACTTCAACATGTCTATTCACCAGTCCAGAACACCACATGACCAAGACTTGTTGCCTGACCTGACCCAGGTGATGAGTGAAGTGCTGCAAGTGGGCAGTGATGATGATGACCAAGCAATCTGGGGCAAGTTGGCTGAGTGCAAGAGGCACAAAGCAAACACTCAAGAGGAAGCCTGGCTTGCTGAGGAGGCCCAGTTGGAGGTGGAGAGGTGGGAGCAAACCTGGCTCAAGGAAGAGAGGGCATGTGCAGAGGCTAAGGCACAGAGAGCAGAGGCTGTGTGCAAGGCTGAAGAAGCCAGGAAGGCAGCTGAGAGCTGGCAGGCAGACACCCTGGTGGGTAGCTCAACTGGGGCCAGGTCAAATGTCAAGGTGATGAGTCCCTTGGTGAGTGTTATTATGATTATTACTAGTGTTTTCTGACCGACATTTCTACCAGCTGCCTTTGTTTTGCCTGGACAAACACCACCTGCCTGCACAATACTGACAGCAAGAAGAAGTGCATGGCATGCAACTGGTGCAATGAACTCAAGGAGCACTGCTGGTGGCCAGTTGAAGGTGAGACTGGTACAGGTGCCAGTCCAGTCATAGACAAGGGGAAGAGGAAGGTGGATGTGACCTCCCCTCATGCTGGGGAGAAGAAGAAGAGTTTGAGGCACCCATCTGCCAAGGTACTCAAGGGTGCAGGTGACAAGGAAGAAGATGTGGGCAAGGGGCCAACAATGAAGAAGACTGGTGAAGAGACCAGGGCCAGTCCTGTCACCAGTGATCAGATGGAGTGCCTGATCAAGGTGGTGGAGTGTGTGGCTGACAATGTGGTTGGCCTAGCAGTGGCCCAAAGGGAGGCCTCAAGGAACTTTTACTGGTTTTCCCAGTCCTATGAAACCTACATCAAAGAGCACTTTGAATTCCTGGTGCCAGACATGCCTTCAGACTGGGACACCACTGACAAGGAGGACAGGGATGTTGAGGGACTCAATGAAGAGCTGGAGGGGCTGAGGGAGGAGGAAGAGGAAAGCTGGTCCCAGTCTGAGTCAGGTGACCAGACCAGTGCCAGTTCTGCTGGGTCCCAAGCCTGATGTCTCACAGCATAGAATTTTTTTTTTTTTTCCTGTACATGTATGGTTGTGAATGTCATTGCCCAGTTCTGGTTCTAAGGTATGAAGGAAAGCAAATAAACGAAGAGTAAGAGAAATCAAGGCATAGTAACTACAAGATAGGTGAAACAGATAAGGAGAGAAGAAAGTTGAGACTGGTTCTTGATTATTTCTTGAAAGGACCAGGTTTGTCTGGGTACTGGTCATGATACTCTTGAATGAGTTCTGAGGCATTGTCTAACTCTATTGCTAGTACCCAGGTGGTCTCTTTGTCAGTTCCCTCAAAGCCAGTCCACTGGACCAGGTACTGAAACCAACACCTTCTGTGCCAGTTGACCTTCAAATTGAGTATCTCTGCTACTTTGAACTCTAAGTTGCTGTCAACATCTACTGGTGGGGGTGGAGGTTGAGTCTGGTTGGGTATGGTATTTGGGATGGCCAGTTCAAGTTGGGACATGTGGAAGACTGGGTGTACAGTGTGCATGGAGTCTGGTAAATGCAGGGTGAACAAGTGAGAGCTGGCCTGGGCTATTATGGGATAGGGCCCAAGGTTCTTCTCACTCAGCTTCTTGGAGGGCTGGGTTGACTGGAAATACTTGGCTTTTACATAGACATTGTCACCCACTTTGAAGTCTGGGGCTGGCATGTGCTGGAGGAAGCTGGTGTCATCAACTGACCACCAGGAATCTGATGTATCTGAGAACCAGACTTGGGCAACCAGGTCTGAGGGTAGAGCTGAGAGGATATCACCATGAAGTTTCTCCATGTCCATCAGTGCAACAGCACATAGGACTGGGAAATCAAGGTAGGTGGCACACAGGGAGGTGGCTAGCTGTTCCTGCATGAAGACCAGTCTGAGATTCTGTGGGTTGACCTGGGCATAGTCACTATCCCCCTCTTTGGGGTAGATGTCCCATCATCTAGTTAGGGCATCAGGCTTAGCACCAAGTTTACTGGGTCTGAACCAGATAACCATATTGAACTGTGACAAAAACTCAGACCAGCACACTTGGTGCCAGGTCAGTACCTTTGAGGTGAAGAAATACTCCAGGTTCTTATGATCAGTGACAACATCAACCAGTATAGCAGATCCTTCCAGGTAATGCTGCCATGTCTGGAATGCTTTGAAGATTGTGAGTAATTCCTTATCATGAATGTCATAATTTAACTCTGGGGCTGTTAAGGTGCTAGAGTAGAATGTGACTGGCTGGATTTGACCATCACCATCAGTGATGGACAAAATGCCAGCTATGGCATAGTCAGGCACCTCAGTCTCAACAGTAATAGGAGCATCTGGGGAAAAATGAGTTAGGACTGGGGCAGAGGTGAAGGCCTGCTTGAGTTTGTTGAAAGACTGGTGGCACTCCTCAGAGAACTAGAACTTCCAGGGAGCACCTTTGAGTGTCAACTGGGTTAAATGTACCACTATGTCCAAGTAGTTAAAAATGAACCAGCAATAGAAATTGCAAAGCCCAGGAAGGACTGAATGTCCTTTGCCTTCCAGGGCTCAGGCCAGTTGCAGATGGCTTTGACCTTTTCTGAGGACATGGTAAGGCCAGTTGGGGATAAGTGGTAGCCCAAATATTCTACCAAGTCTGAGTGAAACTCACACTTCTCTGGTTTGGCATACAGGCCATGCAACCAGAGCTGGCAAAGGACCTCCCAGACATGCTGCCTGTGAGAAGACTCATCTCTGGAGTAGATCAGGATGTCATTGAGGTAGATGACAATGCAGACATCTAGCATATCTGCAAAGATTGTATTGATGAACTGTTGGCAGGCAGCTGGGGCATTGGTAAGACCAAAAGGCATCACCAACCACTCATAAGACCCATAGCATGTTCTAAAGGCTGTTTTCCACTCATCACCAGGTGCAATCCAGACAAGGTGGTACATGTGCCTCAAGTCAATTTTAATGTAGATTTTGGCATGACTAGGGGAGTCTAGTAGGTCAGATATTAGTGGTAGGGGGTACTGGTCTTTCTTGGTGAGTTTGTTAATGCCCCAGAAGTCAACACATAACTGGAGTAAACCATCCATCTTCTTTATGAAGAGGTCTGGTGCAGCATAGGGGGAAGAAGTGGGCCAGATGAAACCAGTGGTCAGGTTTTTGTCAATGAATGCCCAGAGAGCTTGTAGCTCAACTGGGGACAGTGAGTAGATAGTTCCAATGGGTGGTGTAGTACCCTCTTCCAGTTCAATCTTAAGGTCATACTCCTGGTGTGGGGGGAGAGTAGATGCCTTGGCTTTGCTAAAGACATCAGCAAAGTCATGGTAGTCCTTTGGTACACTGGCCAGGTCCAGTGGAGGACCAGTAGAGGTAGACTGGGCCAGGTCCAGGTCCAGTGGGTGTAGATGAAGTTGGAATTGGGTAGATCCCTCTAGCTTGCAAGTGTGTACATACACAGCTGCATTGATCAAGGTGATAGGGGGAGCCTTCAGGGGGGTGCGAACTGGTGAGTCAACAGATGATACAGATGGTGCAGGGCCAGGGTTGGGTTGGTCAGGTAGACTGGGATTGGGAAGACTGGTTAAGACCAGTGTGGCAGGGGGTGTCAACAGGGTTGGCATTCCTCCTGTAGAAGTCTGGAAAGTTAGACTGCTCAATACCCAATCAATCAATGGATTGTAGCAGGTGAGCCAGTCATGTCCAAGGACTATCTTACATTCAGAATCCAATGGGGCTAAAAACAGGGTTACTGGGGTGACATTGCTGGTCGCAAACTGAACCAAAAGGTCTACTGCTTGAGTGATAATGAAACTTGACAACCCATCAAAGAGCTGGAGTTGGATAGGGGACATGGAGCAAGGGGTAAACAAGTGTTGATTAACAAATTCCTTATCTTTGAAGCTATGTGTGGAACTGGAGTCCACTAGAGTATGAAACCAGGGCAAACTGCAACTGACAATAGAAACATGGGGAGTTAATGAATTTGGATTGGAAAGAGTGGACACATTGAGATGAGCCTCTGTGAGTGCTCAGCTGGAGTCAATGCAGCTCTCAGTCTGTGTGGAGTCCTGAGAGCTGCTACCTATTTTTTTGCCTCAGGGGCAGAGCCTGAGGTTGAGGCCAGTGTTGCCTCAGAGGTGGCTGCAGCTCAAGCTTTGGCTTTCCTGGCTTTCTTGGGACCCTTATCTGTGAAATGTCTGGTGCCCCCACAGAACATGCAGAGGGTGTTATCTCTACAGTGTTTGTGCTCCTCCAGTGTCAGCTTGCCATCTTTGCCCACCTTGCTCAAGTCCAGCTTGGATGTGTTTGAGCTGGTCTGACTGGTTGGGGCAGATTTAGACAAAGACTGGTTACTGGAGTTGCCATTTCTGGAGTTATTGCCAGTCTTGGATTTCTCTTGACTGGTGTGGGACACTACCTCTGGGTAGTGTGCAAATAGGGGGAAAGCTGTAGGGTAATCCCTAGGCTCAACCCAAGGGGTGCTGAGTAGGAAGGAGACATAGAATACAGTGGTGGAGTTGATCAAGGAGTTGAATGTGGGGCACAGAATTTAATTCCACAGAGATGTAGGTGAAGTGGGTACAAGTAGACTTGTTTATGAAATTCTGAGTGACAACCTTGGCATGAAGAAGTAATCCTGAGACTCATGAGACACAGAGGCGAGCCACAGAAACACAGAAGACACAGTAGACACAGAGTATGCAGCAGACACTTTGAACACTTAGACATGCAAATGACTTGGATAGTGACTCCAAAAGATGGGTGGTATATTTCCAACATCATGGTGGAATTATATAGTACAAGGGAAGTAGGTATGAGTCAGAGTATGGTGGGGCAGAAAAACTAAAAGACCAGAAAATAAAGGAAAGGATGTCAGATGTCAGCAAAATACAGATGCACATGAAATAGTCCAGTGGGTAGTAGACAAGAGTAAGAACAGGATAACAGTAAGGGGTATCTTCCAACAGAACAAGAGTATGCATACAAGTGGGAGGTGGAGCTGAGCAGCACAGGATGGCAGAGTGTAGTGTACTGGCACAAAGTCCAGCTTGTGGAATTTAGGGTGACAGGGGAAACTGGAGTTTTTTTAGAGGTAAGTGGCATGGATGACTGGTGATGTGGCTGAGTGGTGGCATGGCTGCTGAATTCTGGGTGACTCTGCATGAATGTGGAATTTCTGGATCAGTGTTTTGATTACTGAGTGACATGCTGAAGGTTGGTAGAAACTCTGAAGGTGACAGGGGTTGGGAGGAAACACAAGGACACAAGTGGGAAATATTCCGAATTGGGTTTGTTGTAGAGGCCTGTGGAATTAAGTGACAGATTCCTGTTACAGCCTCAGGGAGTATATGGCTCCCTACACCTCCTGGGGACTTCAAATGCTGACTGTCCTCAGTCAGACTGAACTGAGACATGACAAAGACAAGCATGGAATATCAGCAGAAATTATGTAACAATGATGGCACATGGTCAGAATTCTGCCTCATGCAGAGGGAAATTCCACATTGTATGAGATGGCCCTGCAGAATTTAAATGCACTCAGAAGGTGTCTCACTGCTTGTCAAACATCCACACCCCAGCAACACCCACATCCACTACCCAAGCCCATACCCAACCTTTGCCATGCAAGCCTACTCAATCCATGACACACAACCTGTTTGCAGCATGAGGGACCAGGCCATCACCTCACTGTCAGCAGCATGAAGGCACATTAGGGTGCTAATTGACACAGCACCACAGCCCAAAAAGAGCTTAGAGGTGATATATGAGTGGGTGGAGGACTGGGACCAGACCTGGGTGAGTGCACTAGAGACCCATGCAACACAATGTGCTGACTGATCCCCAGGCTGGGATCTACTTGTGGTGGAAGTATGTTGACAAGAACAAGATCTCTATCCTGAAGGTGTGTGATGCCAACCTACATGACAGGACCGAAGAATCCACAATATGGCAGAATGAGGTGATCCCTGTGGTGATAGCAATAGTGGATCGCTGGTGGCCAGAAGGGCAGTGTAGATTCAAGATCGATGACCTTGTTGAGGACTACCAGGAGCAGGTAGAGGAGAGAGTGTGGTTGGAGGCTGAGAGGTTAGCCAAGGCATCATCCATGCACACCCAGGGCCAAGCAGCAAGAGGTGAGAGCCAAGACCATGCACCAGAAGATACTGAAGTAAACCCATCAAGAGGAGCCACATGCTTGACAGGGGAGGGCTCTGGTAGCATGAGCAAGGGAAAAGGGAAGCAGAAGGTGTGCTCTACATCCTTGACAACTCCAAGCATGCATGCTGACTTCAATGAAAATTCTGCAGGCCACCAGCAAGGAGGACAAGCTGGCTGACAATGTCAATGATGATGAGGGCAATGGCAAACCAGGTCCATCTGCCAAGGGACCTCACACAGCTGGGGACAATGAGCCCTGCAAGACGTGTGCCCAGGTGAACCTCATGTGCATTGGGGAGCCAGAGGCATCCTGCAAATGGTGCAGGAAGGTGAAATGCAAGTGCTTACACTCTCAAGGCATAGGGAGAAAGGTGAGTACTGCACAGGTGAAATTCCACAAGGGAACGAGTTGACACCACCTTCAGTGACAGAACTCTGGTACTGTTGGGGAGGCAGGGCTGTCCCACAAACAAGTCAAATCATTTATGACCTCAAAGCTGGCCCCAGCAGAATCTGCAACCAAACCTGCCAAGAAGCTTACTCTGAAAACTCTGGCTTGAAAATGACAGGCTGATCTGACCCCAACATGCTCACCTTCACCAGATCCAGCCCCTTCACCTCACAATCCTTCACCAACACCCCATCCCTTTTTCTGCAGAGCCACTCCAATGCCTGGACCTTCATTCAAGCCCTCACCAGTCCCTGTTGACATTCCTCAAGTGTCACTTCTGATTGATGAACTGCAAGTCAAGATTGAACCATTTTTTGCGACCATGACTAGTTTACTGGACAAACCTGGAGATGTTGAGGTGACAGCCCAGAGTGACACTCCATCAGCTGCAGAAATTCCAGAGGTCAAACACCCACATGAGCGGTTGACAGTGAACATCATTGAGCATCTGCAAGTGCTTGAGGTGAGGGCCAAGGATGAGGAATTTGAGCTGGAGCAGGTCTACCAACTGCTGGAGATGTTGGTAAGGCAGGTAATACATCAGATTGAGACTGCACATGCTAGACAGGTGGAGCTGTGAAGGTTGAAGGATGATCTCTGGGAAGCATTGCTGAATTTTTTTTTGACTCTTGTCTTGTGAGCAGAGACAGATTTGCTTTATATGAGACAAAGACAGATATATATATAAGCAGAAAGAAAGACAGAAAAAGAGAGGGAAAAGAAAAGAAACAAACAGGGTAGAGAGAGATATGCTACTCATCTGACTCATCCTCAGGGACACCAGCAAGTGTGGGGTCTGGTAGTGAATCATCTTCCAGGTGATCTAAGTTGCATGTGGAAATTCCAGGCAACTGTGTGACTTTGATATGAGAGGTGTTCCACAGGAAATAGGGGTAGAGACAGAAGGCAGCAAAACGAAATTTGGACATGGCACCATCTAATTCTGCCAGGATGTACAAGCCTCCTTTGGTGTGATGGATGATGATCATCAGGCCTAGGTACTGCAGTTTGGTCTTGTGATCGAGCTCTTGCTCAATATGTGAATTCTGCACAAGGACGAGTGACCCTAGTTTGAAGTCAAAGTCTTTGATTGTACATTCAAAGCGAGTGATGAAATCTTTGACAGAGGCGAAGCAGGATTTAAGCACTAGGTCATGAATGCAGGCAAGGTCTTCTGGGTGTTTCTGAAGTTGACAAGCACAGTGAGTGATGAGTTCTGTTGTCAAGAAAAATTCTGCCTCAAAAGGGGCTAAGAATGTTGCCTTGGCAAGGTCAAAAGGGAGTCTAGGTTCTATGCAGTGAGCCATGTAGAATGGAGAAAACCCAGTTGCCTTGTGAATCATAACCCTCTCTGCCCAGAATACCACAGGGGCAACTTCTGACCACTTTGATGCCTCTCCTCCACAACTTTTCACCAACAACTCCCTCACATCAAAATGCCATTGCTCAACAACTCCATTAGCTTGTGAGTTATAGGGGGATATATGTATGTGGTGAATTCCAAAGGTCTTGGAAAGCCAGTTGAGGGCAAGGATGTAGGGTCTGCCATTATCTGTAACGATCTCCGTGACTGCACCCCAGTGGCACAAGATCTGTTCAAAGATGAATTTTCCAATGGATTTACCAGTTTCTGCATGAAGAATAGCCCACTCTGGAAAGCTAGTGAGTGAACAGCAAGCTTGGGGGACATAGCAAAATCCATTTGACTTTGGCATCAAGAACGTGTCCATGTATGCTTTGTAGAATAGGGGTTCTGGAATGGTGATGACTGGTGGAATATGTATGTGATCCAAATGGTGGATTTGACATTCATGACATGACTTGACATACCAGTGGACATCCTGCTCTAACATAGGCCACCAGAAACAAGTCAGCAAATGCATGTGGGTCAAGAAGATACCCTTGTGCCCTAGCTCATCATGAGCCTGATGAAGAATTCCAAGGCATTTGTGTGGTGTGACTACCAGTTGGTGACATCCTTGAGGCTCTTTTCTCCACAGCTCTCCTCCTTTAACAAAATACCACATGGTGAGATGTACCAGACTCTCCAATTCCCCTTCCTCCAATCCTTCTGGTGTCTTCTTCATCTCCAAAAACTCCTTCACCACTTTTAACCTCTCCTCTCTCTGGATTGCTTTCTCTGATTGCAGGATTTCCATTTCATAGTTATGCAGCAAAGACTGTTCAGAGAGAAAACTGCCTAGACTCTGTGGTATGGCAGAGGGTGAGTCTGACAGGGTACTCGGAATTTCTGAAGGGTAAGGCTGAGACTTGAAACAGGCCTCCCTATGATTCAAGAGTTTGACAGCAAAAGCTCCACACTCATCTATCCAATCCTTGTAGTCCCCTTCCCTGTCCTCATCTTCTTCTGCTTTGGGCCTCCTCAACAGTCCATCTGGTGCTACATGTTTGTGTGCTGGGACATGTACAAGCTTGAAGTTGAATAGAAGGATTCTGGCAATCCAGCAATTGATGGTTGCATTGGGCTGTAAATCAGGGTTGTTAATCATCCCCTTGATATACCATGCATCAACCTCAACAACTAAATTCTGCACACCAAAGATGTGTAGTCTGACATCATGTAAGGCACAGAAAAGACCAAAGAGCTTGAGTTTAGCTTGGCTGTAGCAGTGCTCACGGTTGTTGAGAGTTATTGAGCTGAACCTTGCAGGGTAATGTTTTTCATCTTCCCCCCCCTGCATGAGGAGGTATCCTACAGCGATATTCAAAGTGTCAACCACTAGAATGACCTCCCTTTCGGAATTGTAGTCAATAGTATGTAGCATGGGAGATGAGATGATAGCCTGGCATAGATATTCCATGGCTTCTCTGTGTTCATTGTGGAATTTGAAGGGGACATCTTTCTTGGTCAGCTTGACAAGGGGACATGCATGTTTAGCAAATTTTTTGATAAAGATCCTGCAATATGAGCAAAGACCTAAAAATCCACACACTTCAGTAATGTTTGTGCAGTAGGGCCAGTCTTTAATCTTTTGGACTTTAGCCTTGTCCAGAATTCTCCCCTCAAATGACACCTTATGCCCAACCACTATGATAGACAGTGCAGCGATGACACATTTCTTCACTGAGACAGTAGCTCCTGCATGATGTAGATGGTGTAAGGTGTGGTTGATGTTCTGTAGGTGCTCCCAGATGAAGCATCTGATCCCGGAATTTTGTGGGATTGTCTGGTAGGTACCATTGGAATTTTGGTAATGGGATTTTGGACCTTTGATTGGGCAATCATCAATGAAATGGATGGTTACTTTGTGGATTTTGTCCTTCAATATCCAACAGATGTCTCTGTGGAAAATCTGGATGGCATTTGTGTAGCCCATAGGTAACCCAGTGAGTTGTAGAGTACTGATAGGAGTTTGGAAGGTAGTGAGGTCGCAGTAATCATCATGTATGGTGTGATGATCATATCTGACCATAAGATCCAAAATTCCATAGATGGAGTGGCAAGTGAAGGCTTCAGTGATCAAATCAACAAAGGGGGGAATGGCTGAGTCCTGGATAGAAATGGCATTTAGAGGTTGTAAGTCATGGACAAGGTGCAGAGATTTTCTGTCCTTCTTAACTATGCAGAACCATTTTGAGTGATAGGATGAGGTAGACGGTTCATAAACCCCTGCAGAAATCTTTTCTTTGATGATGTTAACAACTTCACAGAAAATAGCAGGGGGAATGGGAATATTTTGCTTGACCCAGGGTTTGTGGGCTAGCATAGGTATCTTCAGGGGCAGGAATATGTCCTCTCAAAAGGTCCCTCTTTCCAAAGCATCCCAAGTGAAGGCAGCCTCATGTGTCCTGACCAGCCATCATACCAGGTCTAATTCTGTAGGCCAAAGGAACCTTGCTGGGTCCAGATCAAGCTTTTCAGCTCTTTCCTGAGTAAATCTAGAACCTGGCATGAATGGTGGGGGATGAGTAGGTAAAACAGGCAGATCTGCAAGTGGGTCTTTGGCCTCCTGACACTCTACCCAGAATTCTGCTGGCATCAACATTGGTACTGGCCTCACCTTCCTCACTACAGGTTTGTACTTTAAGACATGATAAACAGGATCAAATTGATAAGTAGAGCTTAAGGCAGAGATTGTCAGTGGAGAAATGGTGGTAGCAGTCGAAAATAAGAAAGGGTCAGTCAGAGAGATGGAACTAGTATCAAAGGGATCGATGGGGGACATACTGTTGCTTTGTAAATTGTAGATAAATGCCACAGCAGAATTTTTGAAGGTGTCTGTGGATGAAAGGGTAGTAGTCTTTGAAGGTAATAAAGGAGGATCAGAAATGTAGAGAGAACACACAGAGAAAAGATTACTGTGGCCTCCTTGCAATCCAAATGAGTCATCAGCCAACACTAAAAACCCTGCTCAGGCTATTTCATATGGTGATGCATTTGCTTTTGTGCAAAGAAGTCTTCTTCATCTTCATAATTTACAAAATGTGGAAGGGGTTGCAGTCTGTTGCAAGGTCATGTCAGAATTAAAACTTGTTTCCCAGAATTAGGGTTTCAGATTTGTAGAGACTGTTCTCCATCAGGGAAATCATGGAGGACACTGGAGAGTAGGCAGAAGAAGGGTCGACCAAGCAATAAGTCAAAAAGCACACAATCAATGACTTGGATTTGTAGATGGGCCTTGATGTTTCCTATGCACAAGGTGGCATTTTCTATGACCCCAAGGGTGCTTTCTTTGGATTGGTTAGCAGCCTCCAGAGTCATAGTCATGTCAGTACAGAGGGGGGCCTCTAAGGCTTCCCACAACTCCCATCACAAGGCCACTACCTGACATCCACTGTCCAGGATACATTTGATGCAAAGTTTGTCCATTAGGATGCCATCAACAGCATGTAATGGTGCAGTAGTGAGGCCTACACACTTCCCTTCTGTGTCTCTGACCCAATACTGCTCATAGGATGCCCAGGTGGCAGAGGCAGAAGCTTCTGACACCATTTCTAAACTCCCAATGGTTATCTTCTTCATTGTGGCTAGCTCTCTAACCTGCTTGTGAATCTCCAGGCTGACAGCTAAGAGATCTTTAGTGGAAATTTCCATCCTTGCATCTAAGACTTGGTCTATGAGTCATTTGGTAGCCACTGCTTTGTTGAAACCACTCTGATAATGAAATTGGGGTGCTGAACTTGTTGTAGGCTTGGATTTCTGGAGATCTGTGGGACTAGAGATGACCAGAGTTTTAGTAATGGCTGGGATCTCTGTAGAAGGGATGGAATTGGTTGGTGCAGAATTAATGACTGTCTTAGAGGCAGCTGGTGCACCAGCAGGTGCAGGAGCAGCCACTGGGGTTTGCTGGTGGTGAGCTGGAATTTCTACTCCATCAAAATGAGTGTTCTTCTTCTTCTTGATATTGTTCTTCAATTCTTCTACCTGAGCATAAGCTCTCACTAAGGTGCATTGGCCTTCTTCATCAGCATCCTCCTCAAGTTCTTCATTGATTAGGTAGGAAGAAGGGTGCAAGTTGACCTGAAATTCTGGGGCTTCTTTGTTGCTGAAGAACATCATGCTGATGAGATGAGGTGGGGTATTGCGACTGCAAGAAGAGCTTGACTGCTGACCAGGTC